GATGTTGCACTTCACTTCAATTTTCTCGAACTGTCCATCACAGAAATTTTTTGATAGCACTAATGGACTCAGTTTTTGTGTCCCTACAAACCCCCTAAAGTCCCAAATCATAAATCGAAAGATTTACCTTGTTTTGGTACATTTTGGTTATTTTGGTTGTGTTTTGGTTATTTTGGTCTCATTTTGGTTTTTTGGTCGTCTTTGGTTTTTTAGTGAGACCCATAGTCATTTGTTGTTAATGTAGAGGAAAATCGGAACCAGAAATTATGCCATTAAATCATCTGTAATTAACCCTGACACTGTGATTGCCTTTTGTTACCTTAATCATTACAAAGTATTTGGCAAAATCTCATCAACTTTTAATCGTTAATTTCATTGCCAGCAACTCAATTGAAAGACTGTTCAACAAGATTAAACCCAAATACTGCTGATTTAGGATAAAGTCAAAGATGCCTTAATAAAGACAAAAGCATTTCATAGTAAAATAAAAACCTAAATTATTCTAATTATATGCTTTATTAGATTTATTGTACTGAATTTTATGTTAATGATAATGTCTCAATTGTCAGGGAAATTAATTCATTGTAAAATACAAAAAATAATGTAACATATAAAAGCAATTTGATTAATTTCGGTAAATTTTTGACGTCGTTTTAAGGTGCATGTAGCTCGGTAATCAACTTAAGCCAGTGTTTATGCCTTGTTTATCCTAATCAGTTGATTATTGATGTTTATTTGATATTAACTGGCTTTGAGTGTTTCATAATTGAAATTATAATTAAAGCAAATCAAGCAGCAATATCAATAAGAGTCAACAGTAACAACCCAAAGCCAGCAACAACTCATAACTTAATTAGTAAAAAAGAGCTCTTTTGATTTTTCTCGGTTACAAACTTAATTAGAAACAGAAGAGGAAAGATGATGATGATGGTGATGATGGTGATGATGAGGGAGAGACAGATATTCATGTTAAAATATACATAAGAGTCTTAATTATCATTCCTTGGTTCATGATAACCAAGTTACCGAGGAAACTGTAATGCCATGTTTTTTGTAGGCTTTGTATGGTTGAAGATAAAAATTGTCATCTACTGTGCAAACCATAAGGCTTTACAGTTTATTATTATTGTTTGGATGAAAGAGGATGAAGATAAATGAATAGGAATGAATGATGATGGTGAATGAAGAAGATAATTTGAGTAAATTTAAGTGAGAATATGGATTGTAAAGAAATTACTTGTTATATTCCGAGTTGCACTCTTTTTTTGTGTGTGTTGGTCTTGTTGTTGTTGGCTTCATTGTTCATTCACTCATTGATCTTCTCCATGAAGATGAGGATTCAAATAATGAGAAAGATGATGATGAATGAATGAATCTAACAAGATATTATTTTTATATAAACATGAATTGAAAAGAGAAGTCAAAAATGGTGATAATAATAAAAAATAATAATTATAATAATGAACCAAGAAGCAAGTAAAATAAACTGACAACAAAACAAGTCCATTGAGAGAAGCAGATATTTTTGGATAATTTACTGAGTTGGGTGAAAATTGTTTTCATTTTTGGCTTGTCTGATTTATCCAACACATAATATTAACTATTGAGACGATAAAATTAATTATTGAACATAAAAATATGCTTCAATTAATTTAATTTCATAAAATTGTACAATTTATAAAGGGCGCCTTAATCTTATTGGGTAATGGGTTTAGTCAGCTGAGGCAATGATTCAGTTATTTTTCAAAGGTTTCAATGTTAATCGGTTTGTCCATTTCAATTTCAGGCTCTTTGAATAATTTAAGGTCATTGGGTAGATCAAGTTTGTTTGGTCAAAGGATGGAATCAAGAAATAATCATTATCTACTGTAAGTAGCCATTTTCATCACTATCATTTCTCATGTGTTTTTTTTCATCTATCATCAGGTTCACCTTTAACTTTATTAATAATATACTTGGACATGAAGCTTCAGATGAAAGGAATCTTGGAGACTGACTGTTGACTAGATGATGGAGGATCAATCTCAGGTTAAATGATTTTCAATCTCAATGTCTTGAAGGTACAACAAGCCAAGAAGGAAAAAAGCTCTACTTCGTCTTGGTTTCTTTAGGTACATCAGTTTAGTGACACTTCAAATATCCATTTAACCCTCAGGATATTTCATCTCTATACTTTTCCTTAGAGAGACCTTTTCTTTCATCATGATCATCATCTTATTTCTGGAAAAGCTTGTTGCTCTGATCAAAATCATATCAACTTCACAAGGTTGACTGCATCTTGGTTGGTTTCATTTACTTCATCTTTTCATCTCTTCTTAGACAAAAATTGTTTCATAGTTTCTCATTACCATTTGATGATAATTCAAGTGTGATTCAATGATGATGATGATAATTTAAAGTGATTATTGTATCATAATATAAATTTATCAGATATTTTAGTTGAGTGAAATGAAATGAAAATCCAAGTAACCAGAGAAAGAAAGGACAGATAAAAGGTAATTCGAGTAGAGAATGAGAAAAAAAAGGTTTCAAGACAAAAAAAGATTTTGCTTTTAACTTTGTCAGGTTCTCGAGTTAATCAAGTTATTCGGAAATCCGGCAAATTTTAAGAGTATTTATCAAATTATGAGTTGTTCAATCTCTGGTCCTTCTGATGGTTTGTTTTGATGAAAAAAAACACAATGATAAACTTTTATTTTCATCCTTAGTTTAACTAGAAATTTGATGTCCACATCAAAAAATTGTGATTGTCTCATTTTAGTCAATCACTCTAAACACCTAAAGATAACTCTGGTATCCTTTTCATCATTAATCTTACCCATTTTCATCTTCATCATTGACCAAACATCCAAACATTAAGGGAAAACACTTTTCGTTGCTATTTCTGCTCTTATCATCATCATCTTTTCCCTTCATCATTTTTACCATGTGATATATTGTCTTCTAAACTGAATCCAAAAACTGAACAGACTTAAAGTGTCAACATGAGTGAACGAATTGAATTAACTCAGATTTACAGATTTTCATAGCATGATAACTTGAAAAGTTTCCTAAGATAAATTAATCAATCTTTTTCTTTGTTTCACTGTTTCACCGTTTTCTCCTCATCATCCTCTTAACTCAACTCTAATTAAATTAGGTCAATTTATCTCATCTCCATCACCATCATCTTCATTTTCATCTTATCCTTTTCCTTCTTCCTCTTGTGGTTTAATACATCATTTCATGTTATCATCTTTTTCCTTTTCTTTTCACCAGCAAAAAGGATTAAGTTGATCTTTTTATTTTTCTCACTGAACAAGAAGACGTAAAAGACAGACGAACCCAAAGTTGAAGAAAAGCAAGACAAAAATAGTGAGAATTACAATTTAAATTGACGATGATTTATGAATATAATCATGTTCATCTATTTTTATCATCATTTGTTGGTGTACATTTCAAGATCCTTTTACATCCATTGCTTTACATTGTATCTCCATTTTAATTTGACCTTTATTTTTGTTTTCCCAGATCCAATGGATTCATTTCAATTCCTATCCAATTGCAATCCGAATCTGAAATTATGGAACCTTAATCAAGAAAAGTTAACGATCCTGTAATGTTGACAGTATTTTTGAATCCATTGCTGACTGATGATCACTGCTTATCATAATTATGATGCTCTGAGTTAATTTGTTTGATTCTCTCTCCTGAGAATTAACTCTACCGAAGTTGATTGCTCAATTAGAAACTAATTATCAACATTTGAATAAGTCGCTTGGTAAATTGGTTGTAATTGTGATGACGGTGATGTTAATAGTTGAGGTCATTGGTTGGGTCACAGGTAAATGTGTAAAAAAAGGAGAAATAATAAACGAGTTAATTGTCAGTTCAATAATTATCCTTAATTGTTAATATAATTTGTTAAAGGATTCAATTTCAATCATAAACGTACGAAAAAACCAAAAAGAGTAAAGTAAATGTAATAAATGATATTAATAATGATTTGATGCTGTGATCATTGATCAGTGGTTTAAGGGCGAAATCTCATATTAATAATAATGAAACCTCTTGAGGGTTAATTTGACTTGATTAAGGTTGATGACACATTCAATAATCAAAATGAAAATCAATGAACAAAAAATCAATTGCAATTAACATCTGAACACTTTAATCTATTGGGATAAATTTACCTTGAAAGTGAAACATTACACTCCTAACATCTCTATTAGTATCATATTTAGATCATTGGAATTGTTAATTGTCTTAATAGAGAGTAAACCATTCCGAGTTAACCATCAATCAAATGAACTGGAAATCAACAAATAAGCTCATTTTCCTGATAATTATAACATTGAACTAATATGGTGGTTATTTGCTGATTTACCTGGTTTGACTTGATTCTAGGGAGTTTGACTGATTGGAAAGATTTTGTTGTTGCAAATATTCAAGATTGATTGTTGATTGGGTGAAAAATATCAGCTAATTCACCTTAATTTATGGCCCAAAAAGGTGTGTTAAATGTTGAATGTTAAAGTACGATAAATTGATAATCAATAGATTAACTCATCTCCACCAATTTATCATTCAACAAAAGGTAGCAAAACAAGAGATTGTTGTATATAATTAGCAGGCTTAAAATTACATGATACGTTGACATTGATTAGTTGATACAAGGTAAATTGTAGTTGAAATACACCAAAATATTAATCTTTTAAGCTTCACTTTAAGGGTCAACGATTAATACAGCAAAATAACTTGCTAATCATCATCATCATTGTTATTCAAGTAGTCTACTTATAATCATCATTAGCGTTAATTATGGTTTAACGGAGGAAACATAATACATATTTAGCTAGAGCTAAATTACAAAATGTAATTCCTCATCACCATTAACTGATTGTTCATTGATCCAACTTTGCGACAAATAAAATTGTTACCAAACCAATCAAATAATTGACCATGAAAGGTAATGTTCATCTTTTAAATTAATTACATTCAAAACTATCGACTCGTTTTTACAATTAAATTTCACCTTTTTTTCATCTCAACATCAACAAAATCACTATTACTATTGTATTTTGTTTCTTATCATCATTCATTGTTCATCTAATACGTCTAAATTACCTTTATGGCAGTAATAAAGGTATTAATTTTGATGAAATGTAATGATTAGTGTATTCAATTGAGCCTTTTGATTACCAAAGTGTTAGAGTGTATTTTTGTTGCAGATAAACAGACATTTTTCAGTTCAATTGAATACGATTTTGAGATTTACAATCGATGAATGACAGGTCAATGATCATGAGATAAACAATTAATAATCAAATTGTAAATCAATACATTTAGATAGATTTATGTCTTTTTGCTTTAAAATTAACCCTAATTGGAATCGCTAATGAAAAAAGCTTAAAATCAGTGAAATTTGATTAATTTGAATTCAATTGGAGTCCATGTGGATGTAAATAAATCATCCAATTGTGAGGTCATCTTTACAATTTCACAATTGATACAATTAGATGAAGATTGAATGATTCCTTTCAGCTATTAGCCATTATCAAGTTGAAATCTTTAAAATTTTGTTTTTCCACTTTTCTTTCAGCAATAGAAATGATTCAGGTAAGAAGCAAAAAAGTACAGAATCTATTAACAGCAGGTATCTCAATCATAATATAATCTGCTTCTATCGTTTGATTACTCCTTAACGAGGATGATTTGCTTTTTATCCTCTTACAATTTTGGCATTTCACTTGTAATTACCTTGATCAGATAGTTATTTGTTGACAACAGTATAACAACAACTGTGAATGGTAAACGAGTTTTTGTCGGGATAACTTGAAATAACTTGAGATTCATGAAAAAAAAGAGTGACTCCTCTCATATTAGTACAACAGCCAAAAATAAAGCAACATCAAGCGAACAGTTTTCTGTTGAAATGTTGAAAGGTTACTCTGCGTGTGATTTGCCTCCAATGATTTACAGAGAGATTGATAGTGAAAGAAAAGGAGAAAAAGAAAAAGAAACATGAATTAGATTGAGCAAAAAATTCAGAAATTAAACAATTTTACCATTAAGTTTTCATTTACCATGAGATAAGATTGGCTTCAACACGCTACTGGCTCCTGGGTAGGTAAAGTTATTCATAATAAATCCTTACGGATCAAACAAACAGGTAACAGATAACATATGGAAGCAGAGAAAACAATAGAAACAAAAAAAATAATGTAAATTAGCTAAATTGGTTGACAACTGTTGATAAATGATGGTAAATTTAAAAGCAGTTAATCAACACATGGATTGAAAGCAGCCTAAAATAAACGCCAAGAGTCACATGGCTTGTAGAGCGCAAGTTTCAAATCTTGTGATTACATTAAAGATGACATTTCTTTTGTTAAAATTTGAAGTGATTTAATTTAGATTGTTTTAAAATCGTATCATTTATGGTTAATTATCCTGATGATCACCCATGTGAAATGGTTAAAAACAATGCTTATCTCATAATAGTTAATGAAAAACTTGATATACAATGTACATTAATTTATACCAAGTGAAAGCCAAGTTGACTTGTTTTATAAAGATTATTCATCAACATGGTCTTCACCAAGAATGCTTTCAATCTGTGATAAATTATCCAATTTTTTAAGTTATGCTTCTCGGAACAACGATTGAACTTTAATGCAACAATATTTGCCTCCAAATGATTACAATCAATCAGTCATTTTACCATCACCATCTCTGTTGGACTCCATCAACTTTCACTTATAGATCGGACCTTAAAAACATTGTTAAAGTTGACTTGGAGAGATACATAAACAAGTAAAATGTTGATCAGCTTCCCATGGATAAATGATTGAAAAGGAAAATAAATCAGTTGATGATTATCATCGATTAATTGTGACCATTTCCAGTGTATAAAATTAATGGTCAACTCTTGAAATACAATTTAATGTTTGCCCTTTTTGTTTTGGCTTCAGCGTTTGGCTTCATTTGCACCATTTTTGTTGAACCACAAAAAGGCTCAAACCTTGGTTTCCAATTGTATGTATAACATGTTAAATATGCATATTACTGACCATTGACCGATACCAATCTCAAGATATATCTTTTCAGAGAAGGACAACTGAATCAATCTTTTCAGTTTCTTCTTCTTCTTCGCTGGCCTGCTTCTTAAGGAAACCCCGTAAGCTGTATCAATATTGTTTACAAAAGGCTTGATTTTGGTTCACAATGGCAAGAAGCTTTATCAAAATTGAATGGGCTCAACACGCGTTTGATAATAGCAAGAATATTATTTTACTCCATCTTTATTGTTACCCTTACTATTTGTGCTGTTGTTGGTAATATTATTCTGGATATTTCATCTTCATCTCTGCATCTTCATCTAAAATGGTCAACAGTGAGTTACTGAATACAATGTTAACAGTTTTCATTTTCTTCTTGTTTATTCACTTACTCATTCAACATTTCTTTTTTATCTCCATCTTTACCATTCTCAGCCTCATCTTTATTCACAGTCTTTCACTTCCCACAACTATGATTATCTTTCATAATTTTAATGGTAAAGGATCGCTGATGTTTCATGGCATTGGATACAATTGTAGAGCAACAAAGCGACTCTGTAAGTTTGCACAATCAAAACAAAAGCCTACATTTTATTGTTATTTTTCATTTAATATGTAATGTTATTATACACAATTGTACATGATGGTCACTAGGATTCCAGGTTGAAATGAACTTTAAAAGAATCAAAGATAACTTGGAAAAGCAACAACTGAAACAAGGAAATGGCAAGATCATAAAAATGGCAACAAAAATGGTTCTACTGGTTATTACAAGGATTCAAACGTGAGATTTGTCCAGTATCATTGGAGTGATAGTAATAACAATAACCATTTTGCAGTTAACAGAAAAATGGCTTAAAAGTTAACAGTAAATGATTTGATTAAAAAAAGATGAAATTGTAATGGAAGCAAAACTGCTCAAGGCAAGGCTATAAACAAAAAGGTGGCTTCACTTTTGTCTGGTATAAGTATTGCTGAATCCAATATCACAAGTGGGTTAAACGAAAACCAGGGGAATATAAAGGAAATGAGAGTCAACTTCCGTTGATTTGGATACAGTTGATCAAATCTGATTGTCTCCAAATAAACTTGGCCCTTTGTATTGTCATCAAAAATTTGGCCAACGACTAAATAGTCATAAAAATAGTGCGATTCGTCATCAAGCTCATCTTCAAGATCAATCGTGCATTCTTTCACCATCTACATCATCACATTATCATCAGTATCCTCCAACATCATCTCCATGTCAATGTCATCAAAAACATCAACATAATCATCTTTTTTCTTTTTCTTCTTCCCCTGCTTTTCATGTTTTCACCAAACCCATTGGAATAGAGCCTTTTCCATGTTGATCTTGTTTTGACTTTTTTCAGATTGTCAGCTTATCCCCCCGATCATCCTCTTTGCCTAATTTCCGTTTCATCTTTCATCATCTTTCTCTTCTTAAATTATCTTCTTTTTCTTCCGTCTCATGCCATTATCATCATGACAATTCTTGTGACAAACATTGTCATAACTTCTTTTCAACCAATATCCGTGTAAATTTCATGTTCACCAACATGTAAACGCATTTTGTTTCAACTTGATTACCAAACAAATCTGAGCTTTTTGTTTCACTCTACATTATAATCTAATAATAAGTTAACAATGTTAATTGAAGACTACATTCAACAATTAAACATGGATGAGAATGGAAATGCCAGAATCTAATCCCAAAGTAAAAAAGCCCCAAAACAATCAACTAATTGTGTTTTTCATCACATTTAGATTTTGGCAATTAATGACTTTTCTTGCCCTTCTCGTAACCTTTTATTTTTGTTTGACCCACGATAAACAATCTAATTGATTGATTCAAATGTTGGTACAACCTTATTTTCATTACATTATTATTACCATTGCAATTATTTGATGAGAAAAGGTAAATCAAAAGTAACAAACTGGACTCTGGTTGTTGGTTGCTGGCAATTGCATGAAATACTTTTAATTGGTTTTGCTTACCAAATCTTGATAACAGTTTCAAGGGAAATGATGAGAAAAGGTAAAAAGGTAATACAAATGATTGAGATTGTGGTTAACTTGAAACAAACTGTTTTGTGTTTGTATTTAGCTTTAGAAGCATAAGTTATTGAAAGTAATATGGAAGCTTTACTGTTGACAGTAGATTAATGTGTTTTTTTACTTCTCCCGCTCTTATAGCAATTCAATTAACAAATTGGCCTAAAGCTGGCCTTGATTAACGATAATGATAACTTACATCGGTTGTGTGTGAGTGTGTAATAAGAAAAAGAGTGTAAAAAATTGGTTAAATCGACTATAGTTGCAGAAAATTGAATGAAATGAAAATTGTACATGAAAACAGGGTCAACCTATTGAGATTGCTTTTTTAGTTGTGCACTTTTTTATGGTAAGCTTCCTTCATCATGAGTAGCAATCTAATTAGATTGTAGATAATGATGAAAATTGAAAAATTGATTTCACTCAATTGGATTAATTTTTTTACAAAGGCAGAGAGATGGCATATAAATATATACATTATATTTGATGGAGGAAAGATTATGGCGATAAAAGAAGGATGAGAGCAAAAAGAGGGTGGAAAGGGAGGAGGAAGGGTGAATTTGTATTGAAAAAGCTATTACAGGCAATTGGATTAAATACAATCTTTGCTTGGGTTTCCACTTGCTACGAGTAAGTTGATCGTTCAATATCAAGGAAAGTTTCCAGGATAACTTTCATATTTTTTAGACGCTTTTAGCTGCTTCAAAAAAAGATGAAAATGTTCTCGCATTTAGCATTAGCTTTAGACGGTTTTACTTTTGGATTCATCTTCGCCTTCTTCTTCTTTCTTCTTTTGATGCTCTTAGATTCATCCAGTTTAAATGTAATCCAAGCAGAAAAATCCTTTCAGAGTTATTCAAAAAATAGCCCTGTTTGTTATCCAATTTTCATTCTTCAGCTAATTCATCAAATGAATGATTTGTTCAAGTGAAACAGTTCATCGGGGTTTGTTATTGTTGGTTGGCGATTCTTTATCGCTTTATTGTTGGCCTCTCTTTTTGTGCTTGATTCACAATTCATTGTATAATTTAATGTGTCCTCTCTACTGCTTTTTTGATAGCACTATATCATTCACGGGTAAATTGAGACCACTGGTTGGGTGTTTAACATGATATACAGTCAACAGGATCCTATTAGGTGTTATTATTACATTGTAATGGGTTTGTGAACTTTAATCGTCTCTCACTTTTTAAAAACTATTATCATTGGTAATAGATGCAAAGTGATTAAAGTTTAGCTTTAATAGTTTACCATAGAATGGTTTTAAAGGATTAATTGTATTAAAAGCATCACCATTAGGGTAGCAATCAATATTGCCATCAGGATCACCGTCATTACCATCATCAATTGCCATAATGATAAAGATCTTTTCTTTCCTTTGGTTCGGGTAAATGAACGGGTAAAGAAACCTTTTCAATTATGCAATTTTTTCACGACAATCAGCATAAGCATATTGATAAATGGCATTTTTTCAACATTTTTAGGCTTGACAATAAATCCATAATGTATTTCCAAACACTTTAAGGACTCAGCTTGGAAAGAGTTAAATTTTGCTTCCTCTGAAATTGACATGATTGGTACAATGTTGCCAAAATCAGTGATATATTGATGGTTCCAAAGTTGAGTGAAAAAACCAAAAGAGAAATTCAAAATAATGTAATAGATTGTGTTTAGCATGGAGCAAAGTGAAGAAAAGGTTTCTTTAAAAATCTGCCACCAAAACCATTTGCAGATTATTTTGTTCACTTCATCTCCAAATTTTATTGCCAACATTATATCAACATTATCATCTTCGTTTTGATCTTCCTCCTTCTCCTTCTTCTCCTCCTTCAACTTGTCTTCTGCGATTATTTCTTCATTGTTTGCTTCTTGTTTTTCCTCCGACCTGTTTTTAAATGATACCAATTCACTTTTTAATTTAATTTAATTGTAGTCAATGTTTTTTTGGTGTGTTATGTTGTTCATCCTCTTATACATTACTCACTTTTTCCCTGTTTACATAGCAAGTTGAGTTGTTTTCATTGCATTTTCATTATCATTGCAGGGATTATTGTTTAACTTTGCATATTGTTCCAACTTGAATGCATAAATTTTCACATTTTTCAATTAATTTGTTTCCACAGTTGAATATTTAAGGCGAAAGAAGAAGAAAAAAACTCAAATTTTAAGCACAGTAATAAAAATAAAAACAATAATAATCATATTTTGGGAACAATTTAATCCACTTTGAGCTTTGTTTCCACATCATTACAAAGACCATTGAATGGTAATAACATGCATCAAACAAATTTTTCATACAGTCAATTGGAATAAAGAAATGGTTAGAACAAGTAAAAGTAAACTTTAACAGAATATAAACTAATCTAATTTGATTGTCACAAGTTGTATGTTAATAAGTTTCAATTAAAATTAACAATAAGCTTTCGGGAAATTGCTGTAAAAAAGTAGACGTTAAACAAAGCAAAACCCACATGTTTTTTGAATTTTGCACTCATTATGTAATAAGTGAGGGGTGAATTGCTAATTACGCCATTACAAGCAACACATAATTTTTAAAGATTTTCATTGAGATTGGACAATCAAAAAGGTTTAATTATAAATATTTGGATTAAACAAAAGGCTTTATATACAGTGATTATTAACTTACAGGCTGTATATTGTTATTTGTGAGATGGAAATGAAAATATGAGAATGTGAACTCGAAAACGCAATGGAATCAATCATTTATCTGATTGAATATCCTTTTTTTACCAATACCTTTGCATTGCTTTTCGTTTTCTCTTCAAGATCAATGAACTTACCTTTAGTCTTGCTTTTTACCGACTGTACTTGAAAAAATTTACTTTAAGACAAAGTAGCTCTTGACTTTGATTGAGTATCCAATTGATGATAAGTCACATGAACCTCTCTCGTTGAAGTTTCTGGGTAAACTTGTTATCAGGCCTAAGGGTTTACTTTTCTTTATCAATATCAATTTTATCCCATCATCATCATTAGATCATCACCAGGTTTCCATGTTCAGCATATATCTCCAAATTTATGAAATTGAAGAAACCAGAAGCACAGTGCAAAAAAGTAATAACATCAAAATAATTAGCAACTAAACAAGTATAATTATCAAAGAGTAATATTACTCTTTGATAATTATCCTCTTATTGGTTAAAAGATACATCATAGACTCAAAGTGGACTCCATTTAACAGATAGATATTATCCAGTAAGACTAGATACCAGTTGTTTATTTAATTGAATTTTAATGAATTTGGGTTAATTCTTGAATTTCTTTTTTAATTCAACCTCAATTACCATTATGAAGATGACAATGCTGACTAGGATTAGGCTGAGCTTGAACAGTGGGTGGACCATAAATCTCATCAACGGTGAAGACTGGAATTTTGATTTTGTGTTTTCTGGAAACATTTTTTTGCCAGTGACAAGGTAAGACAGCAAATAGCCATGCAAAAAATGAACATGAAATTGAGTTGATATTTTCAACTGATTTTGACGAACACACCTTTGATTGTCCTTTGATAATCAAGTTACACCCAAAAATAGAGTTAAAAGAGTATAATTTAAGTACATTTTTCACATGAATTCAGTTTTTCCTTCAAACACAATCAAAGCCAACATCAACCTCACTTTTACTCTTTTTTTTCTGTCCACTTTCTTTGCAGATTTAAAAATACCATGGAAACTTCAAATCTTCAGGATTCAAGTTGATGACGATGGTGATGTGGAAATTGAATACAAGGAATTTGCTTGATAACAAAGCAAAAAAAATGATGACAAAAATGGAAGACAAAAGGTTAAAAGTGATGAATATGAGGAAAATGTTACCTGAGATGAAACAAGCATTCAAGCTAACAGTGTAATTGAAATTAACAGATAATTCAAATTCTCTGCATAACTTTTTTTGCCTCTTCCACCATCAACTTAATTTAAAGCTTTGCCATTTTTTTCTGCTGAGCTCTTTGATGAAGCAATTGAAAATTAATTGAAATACTGAAGAGAAATCTGTTGATATTTTTAGTTTTGATTGTAGTTAATTATTGGCAGAGTTGCTTTCGTCCTTTCAATCTTTTCAACTGTATTGGCTGAACAGGCAATCTGGAATTCTTGTGCCTTAGTAATTGAAATGAATTGACATAACTACAAATAATTATATCACCCATTTGAATGATTTTGTAAAGGCACAAAAAAAGGATTTGAATAGTAATTGAAAAGTCAAGTAACTAACTGTTAATTGTGAGTAGGAAGCAAATTCCAGGATCTAAATTGTTGTTTTAATTTATACCAATGTTCTTTCAGTTTTACTATTTGCATTTCACTTCGATCAACCCAAGTTACATGTATTTTAACATTACAATTGTACTAATTAGTCGACTGAACAACTCAATAGACATAATCAGTCCATACATTATTCGGATAAACTCACGAAAAAGAACGAAATTTACGAAATTATCAAAAATTATCAATTCCATGAATGTGCCTTCATTTGGTACAAGGTTTGGCAGCGAGTGTAATCATTTTCAATTTATGTTGATGAAGACAAATCAATCAATCTTTCATTTTATGATTAACTTGTGCAAGTTAATAAATGTTTGCAATAAACATTTACTTTAATAAAGACACAAGTGTTTATTTTGAGATTCATGAGAATCAGTGTAATCAGTTAACAACAATGACAACATCAATAGTAATAATGATAATCATACAGTTGAATCCAGTCCATTGATTTATTTTGCATTTTTGTTTCCAACCAAAATCACAAGTTAAGGAAAAGCAAAAAAGCTTAATAGTGACTCTCCAGGCGTGGTTATGGTAATCATAATGGTGATTACTGATTGAGTAGTTGTCTGTAAAGAAGAACTAAATGATTATGTATGAATCACAATTAGAATCAAGTTATAACAATGAAGAGGCTGGCTGTATTAGAAATAAACTTCATTTCCAACATAATCTTTATGAACAGGCTGAGAATCGAAATTGAAGCGTTAAAGTAATGGTTTCATGTAACATTCTGATTGTGCCCGTTGCCAGACAGAAATTTGCTTTTGTTTAAGGTCAGTAATCACTCTTATCCATCAAAATCGCCCATGAAAAAGATTGATACCAGGACAGAATTATCATCTTTGATGTATTAATGCTTCTGGTCAAATATTTAGCCAAGCTTTATGATTAATCCAAGTGCTGAAGATTTACCAGTCAATTCTGCTGCTTGATTTCATTCTCGTCAGATTATCCTCTAGTTTGATCATGCTTTTAGCCTGAAAAAGAGCAAGAAAAGTTGATTAATGAAATGTTAAATAGCCATTTTAAATTAAATTTGGGCATTTTACGCAATTAAGTTTAACTTACTATTCATATTCACCAGTTTTTGCTTTTAGATTTTATTTTTCACTTGAAACAATAATTTGGGGAATGAGCAATTTGTTTCTTGTGGATTGAATGAATGGAATAACCATCTGCACATTACTAATTCAATTCATTTGGGTTGTTTAGAGTGTAAAATAGTTTAATCAGATCAGTAAATTGAATTTAATCAAATTCATTTAATCAAGAGAACAGCAAAACTAATTTCATCCAATGTTTCTTTCTTAATCTAATTGATTATTCTGTTGACAATTGAAGATGAGGTTTCCATTTGTTGTTACTGTTGTTACCTCATAACTCTTCATCTTGTTCCTCCTCATCATCAACATCATCATCTTGATCATGATCCTCTTATGAAGACAGCTTAATTTGACACAATCTTAACTGAATTTAAGCTGATTCCTTTTAATTAAAATTCTTGCAATACTTTGCCATTTTCCTTTGCTTCCATCTTTACTTTGTTTTTCTTGTTTCCAGGTTAACTCTGTTAAAATTTTCAAGTCTCCTTTTTTATTCAGTTAATCAATCACTGTCTTGGTTTAGTATATTTTAAACTACAAACTTACCTTTCTAAATCACAATCCAAGAGGTTAAATCAACATAAATCTTTTAATTCGTAAACTAAAGAATTAACATGACATTAGTTGATTCCTTGATGGTGAGGGTAAAAGCCAGTAAATTTTAACGATAGACTTGTCAGAGTTAATAAAACATTTAACTAAGAAAGCTACTAAAGTGGCACACATTCAATAATTTGTTCAATCCTTTATTGTTACCAGAAACTAATCACCAAATTAAATAAAGTTAATCACCAATCAAATATTGAAATGAAACAATGAACCAGACAATAAGTAAATAAGAAACACAGTCATAAAAAATGGCCGAACCCGCGCAACACCTGATTGATCAGTCTTATTGAGTCGCCATCTCGTTGATTAAACTTTCAAATGACAACTCAGAGTGCGGTTTAAGCCTTTTGTGATTAACCTTCGCAATTTGATTTCAAAGTAATCTGTTTGCTTGACAAACACTCAACATCAATGCTCAATGATATTTACAGGAAATTGTGAAAAAAACGAAATGACAGATTACCAATGATCAACAATTTGATTTGAGTTGAGCCAAAATACGGAAAATATTACAGTAAAATGTCTTCCGTTTTGATGATAAAATTAATTTCCGTTTTCAGTTAATAATTCTGGATTACATTTTTATAGTGCTGTTGATGGACAAACACAATTTTCACCAAATATTTAACATGGTGAGATGATTGTTTCACCTTGATCAAGGTGTATTTTGATGACCAGTCGTTAAGGTGACAGTAATGATGGGGAAGGTTAAGATGATTTGTCCAATCATAATCTACTCGTTGATCATCATCGTCATCATGTAAGATTAATTTCTAAGGTCAACAATGCCTTAAGGTTAAATCAAAGTGAAAAAAAATCCTCTTCTTTCCTGGTCATTTGTTGATGTTGATAAGTCAATAAACAGTTCAACAATTAATTATTTCAAGTCCTGCATTTGATGTGTTTATAATCACAATAAGCCTAAAAGATGCAATCTAATGAGAGTCAATCAAATTTACAATTTAAGAACCTTGACTCTATAACTATAATACTGTCATTAGATTCAAACTAAATTCAAGTTGAGTGTTGCAAAAATTGCCACCGATAGCAACTTTAATTTACAATTTGATCACCAATCAATTGATGTTCAAAAGTGGATCAACTAATTGACAGCAATTGTTGTGAAAAATGGTTATAAAATTGGCTTTTAAAGTTGACTGAAAAAAGACCCAAAGCATAACCATAAGCTAAACCTAGAACCTCAACCATTTTAGGTTGACTTTGGCTTAAGAATAGACTATGTGTGGCTATAGTCTTGATTGTTGATTTTATTGGTTAACTGACAACCAATGCTGACTTTGATTTTTGATGTTCTTATTTTGGAGGTTTGATTGATAATTATTTTGATAAAGCACCCAAAAATCAGACAATCTTGATAACAAATTGTAAGCAGTAAAAATCATGTTCAGATAAGCAGGGTTAAGGAACGTGAAAATGATGTTAATTATTATGATGCTTCTTGTTCTTGTGTTGGTGATGATGATGGTGATGGTGAGGTGAAAAGGAGGGAAAAATAATAAAACAAATATGAGATTGAATATACAAGAAAAGATGTAAACCCTTGAGGCTTTTATTAATCGCATAAAAGGTATCATCATCTTCATCATAGTTTTATCCTTTACAATTTCAAGATTTTCAGATGAAAACAAGGCAAAATTGAGAGTCCAATCTTGAAGGTTTCCTGCATCAGCAAAAACAATATAATCAACACTGTAATTGAATTAAGATTGATTATGATTTTGTTTTTCCTTCAAGCACAAGCTTACATAAACTGAACACAAAAATTGTAGAGATAAAAGGATGAAAGATTCAACTTGTTCTGGTCGTTTAATTACAACTCAAATTCAATGGAACGTTGAAATGAACCTAAAAAACCTAGAGTCTGAAATTGAATTTACATCAATAATGTAAAGATTTATTTTCAGATATTACATGCATGAAACTGGTTAAACAGCGTGATGATTAGTTGATTTAATTATTTGCTAAATTGGCGCTTCAAAAAAGTACACCTTGAAATGTCTAAATTTGATGGCGTTGTTGTCGCTCTTTTTTTGCTCTTACATTTATGTTTTGTTTATTAGGTTATGCTGTATATTATTAAAATTTATTTTATTATCAAGTGTAATATTAAAGATAAATGATAATTAGTCTGCCTAAGGGTAAGTTAATTTACCAACTATCGGTCCAGTGATTACCTTGAGTGAAGTGATAAAAAGTGTGAAACTTGACTGGAAATGAAATCAAAAAGGAGAAGCTCGGAAAGACTGGAATAAAAAAAGCAAAGTGAAATGAAAAATTGTCAACAAATCATCGCAAGTCATCCTAATTTTCATACTTTTTGATATATCAAATGTCTTCTTTCTGGTGCTTGCTGAGTAAATGATGATTATTATCATGCTCATATCGTGAAAGTCGTTTAATCTTGTATCAAATTATGAAATTGAATATTTCAACTAAACTTCAACTCGACCAACTTTCCAAATTTGTGATAGGTTAGGCCTAAAGATAAAATGTAAGTAAATATATTAATGTCATCCTAATTTAGATTAGACACTTTTCTTCCTACTCATCATCATCATCATCATAGTCTTTATCATCATTACTTGAAACTTATCCTCTTTCATATTTGTCCATAAATATTTCAGCATAAATCTTGGTTTTTTAGTTGAGATTAGTGAATGTTGAGATTCAGTTGAATGTGAAGAACCAAGTTGCCTGTGTTGCTAATAATGATGTTAATCAATTTTCTTTTCGCAACAGTTAATTTGTTACTTGATTGTGAACAAAATCTAATTTCATTGATAATGTCCAAGAATCTGTCTGGTTAGGAAATCACTGAAATATCCTTGATTATCTGGTATGGTTTTAGGATGAGTTACAGTAATTTTTTCACGCCACATTGAATACAACAGACAGCCTTAGTACATTTTTTCTGTTCTGATCAATAAGCTAGATTAATTAATTGTCAATAATAATTGAGACAAGGCTAACAACGAAGATGATAAGGTTACACTATTTTACATTCAGCTTGATTATTCAAATAAATCCAATAGCTTTGATAATTTAACCAAATGGAAACATTAATAATAAATATCTGATTTTAATTTAACCGCTACATCAAGAGATGGCAATGAAATTTATATGAGGTCATCAATGGTTGCCATGGTTAATATTGTTGACTATTTCAAGTTTATTGTTACCATTATACACATGATTATGGTTATGATTATGATTGTGATTAGTGATTAAATGTTGCTTTAATGGAAGCGCAATTTTATGTGTTATTGATGTTGCTCGTTGAACACGCGTTTCAATGAAAACCATGTAAACTTTTTCCACTTATCTCCACCTTCAGAGTCTCTTTGCTCATCTTGTGAGTAAGCATAGCTTTTTTCACTCTCTCTCTAGATTTATATTTATCATCATTATCATTAATACTTTTGCTTTTTTTTCTCCCTCCTTCTCTTCCTACAGACTTACCAATGCATAACAAAGTTACATTAACCTGGCCCTTTTGGTACGATCAACTGTTAATTTCATCATCCTGAGTGGAGTCAAATTGAACATGGATCAAGATTAACCTTCCCTCTGTGTGTGTATATGCATATTGTACATGCATTGTGTACATCTAATTCTGGGCTTTGGTCTTGATGTTCATTCTGCTATTTAATCATTTGTTGACATTTACAGTAAAAATATTGAAAGTTGATTGGAGTTGATCACATTTTTCTGGCACAATTGTCTTTTTGCTGCTATTATCAATATTGTCAACGGATTTGATGGTAAACTGTAAAAGTGGTAAAGTTTTTCATCTATTGTTTTGTACCAATGCCAATGAATAAATGATTGGTCCAATTGAGTAATTCAGTGTAACAATTTAGTTGCACGTTTCTTATTCTCTAAAGACAACCACAGCGTGTACGAGTTAACATTGCAATATGGTTTCTAATTCAATTGTATCCATCATTGTGATCTCAATTGTCTATGGTTGATGTCATTATTATAATTGGTAAATTGGTAGCTTTGCAGTTGACAATGAGTGACAACTGACTTTGAAATGACTGAAAGCAGCAACTAATTTTACACGGACAATCAAAGGAAAAAATTCAAACGATCTAACTTATGTGTGTTTCTAGCCATTCTTGATGAATTAAAAAAAAAGTAGTCAATTTATAATAATTTAACACAAATATATTTCAATCAAAGAATAATATTTCAATATTTACAATGATTAATAGAATCTTGACTCGTTTTTTTGTTAGATTAATGATGGTTTGTAGGCAATCATTTGTATATTAAGAATAATAGTTGTTAGTTATGATGCCATTCTTAAATATGAATTATTGGTTATACTTCGTATTGTTCTGTGATAATGGTGATAATAACATGTGGCCAGTTGATTAAGTAACGAACTGTTTCAATTGATGAAGTAAACCCATGATTGATATAATCAGTAAATCATGGTGATGATAAAAATAGTAAACCCAAAAGGCTAATGGACGTGTTGAGGTTTCTCCAATTCACCGATTCTTTTACCTGATTAAGGAGTTGATTTTTTATTGCGATCATTTTTGTTACTATTATTGGAATCTTCTTTCGTTGGATCATCAATTAATCTATTAGATATACGAAGAATAGGTTCAACAAAGGATCGATCTTCCAATGATTTGTTTGAAGAGGATCGAGCAGATTTTATATTTTCCATTGCTTGAGGTATTTTAGCGACACAAGTTGACAGAGTAGAGTATTTGGAGCAACCAATATCAATAACTTCAGATAAAGTCAACTCCAAAAGGGTTCCAATGAGCTGAGTAACGGAAGCTGATTTATCTGGACAAAGTGTGTTCAATAGGCGAATGGATCGGTCATACAGAAAGTGATAAGTACAACAGGAATAGGGAAGAATCATGACATCAGACGTAACATTGGTTCCTATGTAATCCATAATGGATAAAGTACGACCAACCAAGGAATGAACTCGGCCAATATTTTCCGTTTTAAGACAAGTGAGATAGTCTAGAACTTGGCTTCGGCGCGAATTGTCATCACAAATGTAACGCACAGCTTTACCGGCTCCATTAAGCATGAGAGCCAAAATTTGTCTGGGAAAAGGTGGAAGACATTGTTGATATTTGGTTGCCAGAGCAAAGCCTTTACGGGTTGATTTACAGTAGTCGAGTAGATCATTGTCAGTTCGTGGAATGGATTGTTCAGAGTTTATCAATAGCATTCGTTTGATGTATCGATCAGTACGAGCTTCTAGTTGAGTACATGATTTCAGGCCGTGAGTTGTGTGCATAAAAGTAAACAAAATGACAAGAAACCCAACAGACATCAGACATTGACTCCTGTTCACATTGATTGTCATGATTTTGCTTTTAATGTTGATATCGAGGGACAACAAAATTGTGTCAAACGTCAAAAGATAAAGTTAATTTAATTTCAAATGGACAATTTGGATTGATGTTTGGCTTGGTCAATATACAAAACAAATAAATTGAATTTAATCAAAATTTAATCACAAAGGAAATATGATTTTATTTGGAAACATCAACTTGATTAACATCACAGGAAAAAAATTGATGTAAACATTAACCCAAAGATGCTGTCGGTTTCTTGACAAGAAATAATTTTCAATTGAAAGATTCTCTGGTTAATAAATGGAAAATTATCAAATTATTAAATTATTCTGTTAATGAAGGATAATATTGGGAGAGGAAAATGATGGTACAGGTTTTCCCTGAATTTCAACTTGTTTGCTGAATGGTCCTTTTTTACATGGAAAGGTAAGAAAAGTGGAAGAAAAAGGGAGAAAGAAAGTGAATGAATTACCTGAGGAAGAAGTTGAACCTTGGATTTGCCTGTTCTTCAGGCTTCCATTGGAATTGCAAATATCATCATGTTATCTCTGATAATATCTATTATCATTACCATGATTATGGAACTGGATGAGCCTGAAGCAGTACACGTACTTTGGTGTGTATAAATGCTCTTTATTGCTCACAACACAATTATTAATATCATCACTTAAATAATGTTAACATAATGCTAGGATTGTCTCGTCATTAACATGATCAAAGATGATTAAATTTACAGTGTTATTTACAGTGACTAAGGTTGAGACCATGTTGATATTTTTCTTTCCAAGTTGTCCTTTGTTTCAATGAAAAAAATTGATTGCTAGCATCACAAGCTTAATTGTAATTTGGAAAGGCTGAAATGGCGAGAAAATTAAAATCATGATTAATTACCGTCAATTGTAAATGCCAAGGGAATCTAGTGAATGCCATTTTCAAATGTCAAATCATCAGCTAATTATCAAATTTAAGCTGTAAGCTTAGCAAGAGTTATCAAATTGATTTTCAGGTTTAGCCATTTTTCGCCATAAAATTCAGCAATCAGTATCCATTCATTGATTTGTAATCAACAACAATAGGGTTGAATTGAAGTTTACTTCATCCTCTTGTACTGCTTTACCTTTGAAACATTTCAGCTTTTATTATCACAACCCACGAGGAAATAAAGTGTACTTGAGCTAAATTATTTTGGTTTACAATTGTCAAGTATATTATTGATTTCTTTTCAGCATTTTTCGCCATTTTCATTCCCTTTTTCCATGTTTTGCCTTTTCTTTTCATTTGCAATTTTGTCTGATAACTTGTGTGTATCAATCCTTTTCCATCTCTTTTTTTGCTTTTCTCTTCCTGGGCATAAAAGAGGAAAAGAGCAGCAACAAAAAAATAATAATGTTACAAGAGATGAAATAAAGAAAAGCTCATTGAAATTATTGGGATTTCATGTCAAGTATACTTTACCATTTACCAGTTGTTTGGAGTTACATGGTGAAATTGAAATGGTAAAATTAAATTGAAATAACATGAAGCTCCATTTAGTTTTGATACAAAGTTTCCATAGATAACATGATTATATTTATATCATCTTTTTTTGCTTTCCTTTGATTCCTTTTTTTATCGCTCTTTTCCTTCAATCATCCAATGAAGTTCATTATCCCATCCAACGTTGAAGTATGAATATTGCTGGTGAAAAAACAACAACAACCAAAGGTAATAAAAATAATTTGCAGTAATAACCAAAAATAGTGTTGATGTTTCCTCTAGTATTCCTGACTGTTACACTAATTTTGAACACTTGGTCTTGGTATTAGAGTTGTAATCATAAAGATACACGAAACTGTCAATACAAATCGGATAACTGATTAACAGAATCATTGAAGGTAACAACAGCATTTACGGAGGCTTCTATTAATACATCAGGCTTGTATTGTAATATTTAAATGTTGTCTGTAGCTGCATACAAATAATATTCACCGTTTTCCTTCCCGCAACCGATTAGTTTCACATTTTGAATTCCTTGCTAATTATTGCCCAAGCAGTCAGAAATTGAGTTTTCACTCGGATTTTCGGGGATTTAATTCAAATTGAATTCAATTGGACTTTGCGGTGAAAAGTTACACATATACACATTTCGGGCATTGAATTTTCATAAAAAAGGGTGCAACATGATACGAACTTCGTTCAATTTCTTCCACTCTTTGAACTTGCAATCCTTGCAAACGAGGCATGAATGTGAACCGGTTTTTTGCTCAATGAACTTGGTAAAAAATTCGTTTTCGGCCTTTTCACTAAGAAAATTCTTGCCATCAATATCGTAAACAAAATACGGATTACCATTTAAATACCTTTCATAAATCGAAGTATCCCTAATCTGAGCAATACCATCTTCCTTCGAACAGCCTGCGATCTCTAAATTTTGAATATCATCATTAGATGTTGAAGCGAACATGGTCTTTTCAATTTCGTGTTCGGAATCCTTATGTAGGAAAGCACGGGAAGTATCCGATCGAACTGAATAATAAGCAATGAATGCTTCTTCCAAAATGAGTAGTCTTTCAATATAATTATCAGATAAGTCGATCTTATGACTCGGTTGTGCATCATTATTGAAATTAGATCTGGAGGTATCCGTATTATGTTCAATATTGGGCACTTTAAACAAATCGAATGATAGTAAAAACATTGCTTATCTTATTTCTTCTCCTTCTTGATCCATTTCTTTGAAATTTTCAGCATACTTCTGCTCTATTATCAGAGTGTATACAATAAAAGATAGGAAATAGAATAACGATTTCTAAATAGCAATGATTATAATTAGCTTACCTTAATAACCAAATGAATAACAAAAATGAGTTTGAATCAACAAAACTAGACACGGATACTTCTAATACCTCTAAGGTAATTTCAATATTTTTCGTAGTTACACTCAACTAATTTTTTATTTTTATTTTAGATACTAATTAATGGGAAGTATCCCATTGACAAAGCCCGTGTTTTCTATGGTCTCGCAAAAACTACGATAGAGAAATATTTTCGTGAATTGATTTCTCATGGCTGGAAAAATCATGAAAAAGCTAAACATAGTTTAACTGGCTTAATAAAAAATTGACACTGAAAAAATGAATTCATTTATTGATTATTTATTGCATAAATACATCAAACTTGAATAAGATCTTATCACTCAAATGTCCACTGGAGGACTGGAATAACCACTCCAAGTCATGTATAAATGCTATAGTTGAAAACCCAAAAGATCATTTAGCCAAGTAAAAGAGTTGACTGTGAACATATGATTAGGAAATGTCTGGAATAATATATACGGACTTAGACGAAGGGGAAATCGGATCGGGCACATCACCTAATAGATTATTTCTTCGTTCGTATTTGACAAACCTGAAATAGAAAACAAGTTGGAATAATATTTTATAAAATAAAGGAAAATGCGAAGACAATCAGGACTAACCTTTTTCACCGCATTCAGTTCCCCATGAGTTTGCTACCAAAAAATAATGGACACCGTTTTCAATTCCGAAACCGATTATTTTTATATTGTGATATCCCAAATGTTTCTCAGAGAGACGTTTGTGAATACCTGAGGCATATCTCTATGCATTATGCTGAAGTTTCTTGATGAAAAAATTTTACGACGACCATAAAGATATGCTTGGGGGGTTCGCCATGAAAGTGCCAATAACTTTTGTTAATCAAAAAAACGGGCACCTACTATTTTTCACTTTTTATGTACCCCTGATGGGCTATCTAAAAATATATATTTCATTAGGAAACTCGATTACCACTTCATGCCGAATCCCTGTTAGTCTAAAGTCCACTTTGCCAATGGACCCATTTTCGGACTTCATCAGTGTGAATGAATGTAACTATCCAATTACAATTGTATAATTCATCGATCCATTTCTATACATTTTAAGATGATATGACCACAAGGTGAGTCCCGATGTCCGTTATATTTGGAATGTCGATAAAATACAACCAAATCATAGTCTCACTATGTTACCTCAAGTTTCCTCAAGCTTCAAGTCAAATTCAAACATTCAAGTTTTCGAAGGAATCGCTTTCAAAGTTCAATTTTGAATTTCATTTTGTTCACCTGTATAACTAGATTTCATTTTATTTATCAGTTTTTCTCATAGACCATGGTTTTTCGTCAAGAATTTGAGTCTACAAATGTGGCTTTAATTTATTGTATCCATTGGAAAGAATTCCACTCAATCATTAGCCATGATCGCAGGATTCAGATGTAATATCTTAATTATGAAGCAGAAAGAGTTGATTCATTACCATAATGATGTTTGGTTAAAAAGATATGCATTTACAATAAATGTATAAATGATTTACAATAATGAAATAAAAGAGGATCCGAAAAGCTTTGACAAAATATTGTTTCTTTTGCGGTTCAAATTTAATTTAATATCAACAATCAATGAAACAATTTGCTCAGTCAATTCATTTAACTTGAAACAAAACCTGAAAAGTGAAACCTTCCCTAAACCAGCATTTACTCTATTCATTGTCAATTTTCAATGAAATTTCCATAAAATGGCAACTTTAACTTAGATTTAAGGTTAAACACGATGAAAATGATGATGATGGAGATGACAAAAAGGATGAGAACGGGGAAGATAAAAGCTTCAAAATCTTGTCTAACATTTGTTTTTAGCCTGACTTTTACTTTGCTGCAGAACTGCAAGTTACTCCATTAAATATCAATTTAAGTGTAAAAATGTTTTCTGAATATTTTACTTTTAAAACGGTAAAAAAAGGAAATTCATTTTTTCAAACATTTTTTACAGTTTCCCTTACTTTTAACCCTGAACAATTTAAATTCAGATTTCAACTTGCTCCAGCTAAACATCATCATTTTTATCATTATTTTGTTCATCATGTTTTTTTCCTTTCCTTAACCACTGAAAATGTATCGACTGTGTAATGGTTTGGGCTTTGCTGCTAAACTTGCATTTGAAGAAAACTCACATTTTTATTCATCAGAATCTCAACTCAACCATTTCCACATGAAATTGAAACATTAAACTGTTTAAATTGTTCACTGAACAGGTTCAATTGTTGGCTCGAAACAACAAATGTTTCAATTTAATCTTTCAACTCAACTTTAACCCAATAGTCCATCAAGTCATCGAAACATTCACAATGTAAAATCAAGTCCAATCGATCCAATGATTAACCATTTTGTTTCCCAAATCAACCCAAATTCAAATTATGATTTTCGAATTGCAACAATCGATTAAAAAATATTGCTTTATTTGCTTCGAGTTGAACTTTTTTATCAAATAAAATGCTAAATTAAAAGATTCATTATTTTGATGATCAATTTTATGCAAAATGTTGAGATGTTTTCACCATTAAAGTGAATCTTTGAGCAATCTTTCAAACTGTATTTAATTTGAATTTTAAGCTCTATCAACACTTATTTAACCATTTTAATCATTATTATCTCGATGGTTAATGAGAAATGAAACTAAAGCCTGAATTGTTTCAAGTAAACCCAATTTATCTATTAATAGATTAAATCTATTTTCACATTTTACTTCAATTTCTTGCAACTTCTCATTATCATCATCAATTCAGTTTCAGTTTCTTTTGTTTGTAAAATCAATAAGATTTGCTTTCAAGTTATTGTTAACTTGCTAAGAAAAATGCTTTTTTTTCCTCAAAACTCTGTTCTCTTCATCTTCCTCATTTTTCCTCATCACAATATCACTGGCAATCATTTATCTTTCCTCTTCCCTTTCCTCCTCCTCATCATCATCTTTATTGAACGTTACATTTTTACTCCCATTAAACCTAATAAAAAAAGTGTTTCACTATCACTTTCAAAGAGTATATTGTTTCTTATAAAACGAGAAAGATGACAATAGAGAGACAATAATTTCTCATAACATTTATCATCATCCAAATCTCTGGTTAAGAGTTTCATTTCACTCCTTTCCCATTAAAAGGCAATATCGATATTTATTTTCAATATTCATTGAAACAAAACAACAAATATAAATGTTGTTAAACCAAATAAACGTTTCCAATAAAACTGTTACTGTAAAAACAATTTACTGACTATTAAATACAATCAAATTGCCAGCAATAAATGTCAATCAACAAGTGAAAAGTGTGAAACATTTAATGTAAAAATGTCTCTTGATTTACGATATAAAGTCTTGAATGATTCATTAATATTTTCAAGGAAATATCAGACTTGGAAAATGATTTACCAGAAAACCTAAAAATCATTGTTTTTGCTACCAAAATTAGCCAAAATGATAAGTTGAGTGCAAATATTAATATGAAAGGTTTGAATCAATGTTTAAGATGGTAAATATTTAGGTATTTAAGATTAAAACAAATTTGTTTTCTTATTAAGCAAACACTTGATCAAGTTGATTGTTTGCGTATTCATTATTTGCTAAATTAATAAGCTCTCTACATTATTTGTTTCAATTTTAGGTTGAACAATTGTTATTACTGTTTAAAGCCTTAACCATTGACTTTTTCAAATGATTTGGCTTTTGAATTTGAATCGGTTTAGCTTTTCAACTTGCTTTAGTGGGAAAAACTGTTATTAATTGTGAAAACTCATTTTTGATGAAATGATTTTCACTCTTTGTGGTGAGATATTGATATTGATACACATTTAATGGTTATTAATAACACAAATGGTTACATAAATTGGGTTTATATCGATTAATGGTCATTAAAGACTTCAAATAATGGGATAAAAAAAGGTCACATTAAGTTGGATCGACAGATTTCAACAGTTTTTTCAACTCTCTTCTTTCAACAAGAGTATCAAATGGAATGAAAAATGTGACAAAAGAGTCTAAGAGGGTAAAGATGAAAAATAATAAACACTGAATGGAACTATCCAAGTATAATTCATCGACTCATTTCTGTACATTGTAAGATGTACCATCATATTGATCCTCGCCATTGTCATCATTGTCATTATCGCCAATTTGATAGTCCAACTGAAAATTACAATTTTTGCCTCTTGAGATCAATTGAAGCTCATGTTTAGTGCAATGATATCCATTGAAAGACAATGGATAACATTTCATACCTTATCTTTTATCATCATTTCATCTCCACAAGTCATTCTTCATCATTGCTCTTCTCATCATCATCATCTTCTTGGTCCATCTCAAAAGTCACGTATAAAGTATTCAATAATGCTACAAGCAACGGTTCAAAAAATGTGAATCAAATTTGAATGGAGACAAATTTTTGCATTCAATTTGTTTGCTATTTTATATATTTTTTCAATTGAAGTCATAGACTTTTTGGCCCTCTGATCTGACTGTGTGTCATGTTAATGGTGATGATAAGATGATGAAGATGATGATAATGTGTGTGATATTGAAAGCAGATCAGCATCCACTGAACCGTTAATCTGTTGGAATGGAATCAGTTTATGAGTCTACAACCAACAAAGATTCAACTCTAACTCGAACGAAAATTTTTTACGTCTGCTTAAAGAATGACTTTTCCATCGCAAATGAATATTACCAATAATTTTCAGTAATAACCAAAGATAGTGTTACGTTTTGCTCTGGTCTAACTGTTAGGTTAATTTGAACATTTGGGCTTGGTATTAGAGTTGTAATCATAAAGAGACACGAAACTGTCAATACAAATTGGGTAACAGATTAACAGAATCATTGGAGGTACAACAGCAATTTACGGAGGCTTTTACATCAGGCTTGTATTGTAATATTTAAATCTTGTCTGTATCCAATATGCCCTGTAGTCTTATGGATATCTTGTTGTTTTTGGTGGTTCCTTTGCATCTTTCCCAGTCACAAATCTCCTTTTGTGTGTGTATCTGTGGTAAAAATAAGATGAACATTTGTTAACTATGATGATGAATTTTTGGAGGTGGTGATGAGGCTACAAACCTCAAACAATGTTGAATAAGTTTGTGGGTTTAACATGATAAATGGTATCAAGTCAATAATAATCATAATCATAATAATAATGAAAACTAGCAAAAAAAGATGGAATAAAGAATATAATAAGCCTGAGGCTGGAATGAGTAAGTCGATGGCTTACAGAGGGCAATAATATTTGTAAACGAAAAGGTTAATATCCAAGTTTGTCTGGATGAAGCAGGGAAAATTTTCATCTTTTTAAATGCTGTGAATAGTGAAATTGAATGAAGGTAAATCAAATTATCAATTATTTTGAGAAGCATTTTACTCACAATATCTCTTGATATTATGTATTATCTTCTGGTTTTCAGTGTTAGGTCCTATTGTTATTATTATTATATTGTCGGTCCGTTTAAGAGATAAATAAACTGGTTCAATGTGTTGGAATAAATTGCGATTTTAGGGAAAAGTTAAAGTTGCAAATGGAGCAACAGTGAAACTGATCTTGATGAACAATTTGAAAACTGATCTACCAAGTAATTTACTATTGAAAAGCCTGGAGCAATTTATATTTAAATTTGTTTCTTTACTTGATGAACATTTTTTTTCTCCCTTCTCAACACTGATGATGATGAGGCTTGAATCAAAAATGTTCACATCTTGTTTAGAGGAAGTTATTGTAAGTTTTTGGAGAAAAATAAATTCAAAATGAGATGAACATCATTAACGATGAAAAGCTCATTGCAACATTTAACCATCGTTTAATCGTCATTATCACCTTGATTTCTTCCCACTTCTCATCATCATCATCATCACCAATATCACACCACTGAATCTATTCTTGAAGCATCATTTCTCGACTCCTCTTTTTTTCTGTTCAAAGAATCTCGGTTCGTCTTAAATGATGCTGTTTGTTATCAAAACTGAGATTGTATTGAGATGAATTTTCAATCTTTAACAAGCAAAAGGCAGTAAAAAAATAAGTGATGAGGAGGAAAAGGAGAGGAAAGATTGGAAATTACGGTGAAAAGGGAGAAAAGTATTGTTATGATCTTGATGTGCATCCTAAGCAGTTAGAATAGAACTTCTAAATACAAGTTTATTATCTGTTATCACCAATTCCCTGAGAACTTTAACAGGGGAAAAAGGAGAAGAGATGATGATGATGATGGTGAGAAACTGAGAAAATAGAAAGTTTCTTTTATTTTGGTTAACTTTAGGACTTTTGCTCGAAGGAGAAAAGATTTTTACCGGAAATGTTAACCTAGAAGAAACTGTGTTTCCGGTGATGCTGAGTATAATGGGTTTGGATAGGGAAGAAGTGTAAGAATCAGGGAAGAGTCTATTAGTTAAAGATGTGCTAATTACTTTGGAGGAGCTTGTATAAATGATGCCATCATTATCAACAGTATCATAAGTATTGTAACCATGATTGGATTCTTGTTTGCACCAAAATTATTTCACATTTTGAACGTGTTCCTTTTGGGTTCCGGAAATCATCTGAAGATTGTGAGGAAGAAGAAACTCGTACAAGCACATGGTGAGATAAATGGTGTAAAAACAGAGGGAAAGCGAGATAAAAGGTGGATCATGACTGACTTGAGAGACTTCCGAGTAATGATCTGTTTCCAAAAGATTGCCTTGAAATGAGTCTTGTTTCCAATGTTTCAGTCTGTAGAAAGGATTATAACTCCTTTGAATATATGGAGTTACGAGTCATCATAATAATATAATAACTGATTTTGAGAATGAATTGATGATGATAATGGTGATGATAATGATGTTTAGTCGAGAATAGATAATTTTACTGTTTCAAGTAAATGAATGTTCAACTCCATTGATAACTGGGTTTAAGTTGGTTCCATAAAGTTAATAGGCAAAGTCAAGCCATTACTTTGTTTCATCATAATTTTTGACATTTTCTGGTGTAAAGGGTAAAACCATTTCCGATTCCTCTGAAATGTCCTTTGAGGTTGATTAGATGAGGAAGTAAACCATGTTAAAGAGTTGATTGCCATTAGTAAGTCATTAAAAATGCAACCTCCACATCTCGTTTTACATCAGCAAAAAAATTTTCATGCCAAAGACCTAAACAATAATTCTCAATGGAATGGAAAGGTGAAGACAAATTAAAGTTAAAGGGTTAAGTTAATTTCATCTTAAATTACTTGTTAAATTTACTTACCCACTGATTGGTGAAAAAATGGCATCAAGACATGTACATGTGAATGAATATCCATGTGTATATAAAAAATCGGTAAGAAGAGGAGTAATTCACATGAAGAAAAACATGAATCATTAACATTAAAATAAACTGCAAGTAATTAAAGTTGATTCAAGGTATTTATCAATAGCAAATTACTTTCTCAGTTTACTTTTGGTTTGTATCCATTTTAATGCAGCATGTTGATGGAAGAAAATGGAAAATGATGAAAAAATCAATCATCCATTGAATCAGCAAAGGGAAAACCAAAATCAGGTCTAATTAGGCATAATATATTACCAGTATAGCGATCAAATTAATGGACCATTTGATCATTAACACAAGAAATAAGACAAAAAAAAGATTGTTGAAACTGTAAAAACACAGCAAAATGTGTATTCAACCTACACCTTTTTTATATCTGTTAACTTAATTAATGTCAATCAGCTAGAGCAAATTCAAGATGAAATTAACACTCGAGAAAAGCCACCGAAACAGCTTGAATTAATACAACCAATTAATACAGTTTAGGTTAAATAATAGATGAATTTTGTTAAATTAACACATTTGAATGAATTTACTTTTACATTTTGTAAACAAATTTTTATAATCCTTGAGATAAAGCCACATTTTTCACACATGAAAGATTATTGAAAAAATTATCAATAGATGTCACTCAGAAAAATTGAACGGTTTTAATCTAAAGATCTTCTGATTCAATCGTTTGGACAATTTGAAAAGACATAATTATGTTGAAGGAAAGATGAGTAAAGAGACAAAAAGGATCTTTAAAGTGTCGAGGATAATCAGTTTATCAGTTGCGATCTGGATTTTGTTAAATGATACAAATCATTTAAGCTAAAGAATGTTAACCGCTAAATTAACTAACCAATGAATGTTGACAAATGAGATCACATGTTGGCGCCATTGCCTAAAATTGTCGAGACAATAAAGATGTGTTAACTGGTTTCTTCCAACAAACTAATTTGCCTTGTTTTTCCCATGTTATTTGTCTTGTTTTTGTCTTGTTTTATTAATCATCTCTTAAATCTGATTCATCCATTAATCGTTTATCAAAATGGTTAGTTATTAAGTTCAAATTAGTTAATTTGATGTCCCATTACCAATGAATGGAATCCAGCAAGAACGGATCAATAAAATTCCATGTCATGCATTATTATCTAAAGACACGAATTTGGTAAGTTTAACAGCCTTTTTTCCCTTATTTACTGTGTGTAAATGACGAAACTGAACGATGATGAATTTAATGATATTGACCTTACCTTTCTTTTTATCTTACTCTTTTTTTACAGCTGCTTTAATGTTTCAAAATTCATCATTTTCATCGTGAGTTATGGATGGGCTTTTAAATGGAAAGAGGACAAGATTGCGTTGGCCGGTGTTTTTGAGGAAAAATGAACTGGTTACTTGAATGGCCATAAATTACCTTGTTAAAAGTGTAAAAAAGGGTTAGCCCACCATGAAATTTTTTGATTTACTTGAACAAGATGCTCTCTCATCAGCCTGATAATTGCTCTTTTGGTTTCAATATGATTGGTTTAAAGGGGGTAATTTCCAAATCATAAAAACCATTTGATGACTGTGATTATGGCTAGTCTTACATCTTTATTAAGTTTTCATTTATCTGGAATCATCAACACAAGATTTACAGATTCATGTCAACTTCTGATTTTCTGATTCTCTTTTCTTCCCTCTAAATACACGATTATTTTGCTCCATCGATACAATCATTGTACAATCATCTTTATGAATCCATACAAGTCAAAATTGATAAAAATTTTGCTTGTTAACTAGTTCAAGGATCTGTTTATAAGCAAAGTTTGAAACGCATAAACTTTCATCTAGCTAATATTTCAATCTTAGATTAGATCCTGGATAAATTTATTGACATTATGAGGCTATTAGTAAATTGCAGTGGGCAATTTGCTAGCAATTTTCTCAACTTAGGGCCAAAGTTATGATAGACAATGATTGTAGAGGGAAAGAACGCGCTCAAGAGGTATTCCTTCAACTTTCCAGTTTGGTTCATAATAACCAAATAAATCGTCGCACTTCTTTTTAATAGTTTTAAAACTAACATCAACATTTTCTTTAAACAGAGTGCTGCTTCATCTACTTGGAAATTAATTTGTTTGGATTGGACTTAAAAAAACATTGGCATGGTTGATTGCCTTTGGGCACATCATCAGAGAAATTATTAAATGACAGTGATTTCTTTAGGTTGTTGATAAGATGAGCAAACTAACCATGGTGATCTTGTTAAAAGAAAAGAATGATAGCCAAAGGAATAAGTCAGGAAAATCTCAAATTGGAAAAGGCAATAAGTGCAAGGAGAAGAAAGAAAAAAAACAACAAATCAACACAAAAAAAGCTGCGATGATAAGAAAAACATTTTCATTGGTGTTTATAATTGTTGGTGTCCAGCGAAAGGAAAACAAGCATACACGGATTACACATTTAACAGCTTTAAGTTACAACATGGTCGATGAAATTATTTTGTTGTAACAAAAATTACATCCCCAAAAAGTATTCTGATGACGGTGATTGCTGCTGACGATAAAAGATAATGATGATGGCCATGATGGCCATGATGATGATAATGATGATTTGAGATCAGAGAAGGCGAATGTTAGAGTAAATTGAAAAGTGAAAACAAGCCCAATTTAAAACAATTTTCAACCTTGCTCTTCCTCCTCACTCAATAACTTTCAGCCTATTCATTTTGTTTGCTTTTTTTCTTGAGAGAGCGATTGATAGGATGGATTGTTTGTTTACATCCATGATGAAAAGAGAATAAAAGGATGAGAGAAAATTGTGTGAGCCATCATCTCAAGTTGATCTCTCAGAAGGGATTTCAATTTTCTTTGTGAGAAATGATAAACAGAGAGCAGAAAAGCATATTTTCTCAGACTAAATCTTTCACAGATTGGAAAGAAGAAATGGATTTAAGTATTGGACGACAAGATTGGAGTGAAATAATTCAAAGGACATCATCAGAAATATTATCAAAAAATATCCAGATAAACTCACAAGCTCTTTCTCTCACTCACACACATGGTAAAGAAAGGAATGGAAATAGAATGGAAAATGTTGATTGGAAAGAAAAGGAGAAAAAGAAAGGTGCAAGGATGAAGTTAATATCTCTTGTTCATGGCTTGATCAGTTCATCACAATAGCAATAAGATGGTGAAAGAAGTGATGAGGATGAAAGCAAAAGAGGAGCGATTTTTGCTTTTAACAAAAAAACTGTTGACTCGTCTTACATGAAACAACAAAAAACCACAGTAACACCAAGGATCAACAATAAAAGCCCCATAACATCAACAGAATCATCAGCTAGCAACGTAAATGTGAGCTTTTTTATATTCTTTTATTTCATTTTTCCTCCTCTTTCTTATTCCTCCCTCTCATCATCCTCATCTTTTCTTTTTTTTAATGTCTTTGTTTGTCTACGAGCAAAGTTACCTTTTCATTTTCTTTTATCTGTTATTTTTCTTGATTCTTTCTTTTTTCTTCCCTTTTCAGATTTTCTCGGTGATTTTTTTCTCGCTCTTTGTTCCTCAAACTTTATTACTAAAGAATTAAGTTTTCAATGTATGAAAAGGAAGGAAAAAAAGGATTCAAAGATTGAATAGATTATCATCCCATGAACAAGTTACTTACGGTAACTGATTATTCTGGTTAATATACAATTTTTCAGGTAGCTACTCTTGATCTATTAACTGGTAATAATCAATTAAATCCTTCACCAAGAGTTACAATTTAGCTGTTTATAATTAAATTAGCTAAAATGTTTCCTCGTCATAACCGGCTTTGATAGTCTTTTTTTTATCAATAAACTCAATCATTGTTATTCAGGGATTCATTCGTAATAGGAAATTGTAAAGATGATGATGAATTCATTATTTGCTTTTGATATTTTACCCTTTTCAATTAAACAAACTCTACCTAAATCAACAGTAAATGTTGCTATAAATGGTGAGTTGCTAAGGATTTTTTTTCATTGAAACTTTTTTAATTGATAAACCTAAATAATGATATTAAATTTGTTTTATTTCCTTGTCTATTTCCTGTTATAATCAATAGTAATTCCTGTTGCCACAGAATATAATTATTTATATAAAAAACGCAAGATCTGAACGTGATTCCGGAGTTAAATGGATAATTGAGTCAAATGAAATCTTGGCTGTTCCCTGCTTGAATCTGGAAATAATCAAAAGTTGAAATTCTGAAAGCTCACATGATGAATTATGTATTCGCTTTGGTTTTGAATTTTACACTATTTTTTTCTCAATGGCCAGTCTATTGGTCTGTTTATTATGCTGTTACATGAATATTACTGATTTGATATCCAACAAGTAATGAAAGGCTAAACAATTTATTTTCCAATCAAGGAATATGCATTTGGATGAACACGAAAAAGCCCAGTGAAAAGGTCATCTTCAATTAATGGGAGCTTCTCAAGATATTCAACAGAAACCAAGCAGCCACAATTGTCCAATGAACCTTAAAGGCAAGATAACTGTAAACAAGATGAGAGAGTTGACCTTAACTGTTGACTGGCAATAATGCAGGCAGAGAGAGGCTTTAGCTGATGTCATATTAAATTATGGTCTCAATTTGTATTCAATTAAGTTACGCTTTTGGTTCTGGTCAACCAAAGTTACCAGGGAAACATTATCAAGAGTAACAGTGTCCAATGATGATGAGTTTACTAATGTGAAATTGACCACATTTTTTTGCACTCACAGTTTAACGTGTGCATACATCTTAACAACTCTAAGACCTCACGTGAAGTTAATTTAAGGATGCTCATTTCACGTTAAGTTTCATTGAGTCTTTGTAGTGGATAAGAGGACTAAAGATGCAAAGTGAAAGGGGCAATTGGAGTGTCTTCGGTCAAGGGTGAATAGTTCATTTGATATGCTCTATGAAACAACAAGGAAAAAATTGGAGGCCAAAAAAGAAGGAGGAGATGCTGATAATTCTTCTTGTCATGGAGAAAATGAAGTCTGATGATGAAGAAGAAAACAAAAAAAAACATTGGACAATGAATAGAAGATTATTAAGACTCTCTTGTAAGTGTTTGGAGAGGTTAAAAGAGCAAAAGAGATATGTTGAAGAGAAGGAAAAAAGTAGAAGGAGAAGAAGAAGAAAAGGCTGATGGTAAAAGCAAAAAAGGAACCCAAAAAAGAAAAGGCGAAACTTCATTTGTTTCTTATTACCAGACGATTAATCAAAAGGCGATAATAAAATTGGTAAGCTGAACAAGCTCATTGAAAGGTTGGTAAAGGAGAGGTTTGTTGAAAAACCAGGAAAGTATGGCGAAAGAGGATGAAAAGAAAGTAAGATGAGTAGAGAGGTGTGAATGTGACTGGACGGGTAAGAGGAGAAGCAGTCAAAAGTAGTTCTAATCATTCAGGGTAACATGGAACCATCAATCGTCCTTTATACCAATTTGTTTTTTTTCGTTCTTGTGATCAACAAAAACCAATAGCAACGTCAACTTTTCATCCTCATTTACAGTCCATTCTCTTGGTTAACCAACAAAATTCCTTCAACTCTCAATTTACCTTTTTTTTATTTCATTCATTTTCATTTTCTCTTTGTTTTCTTTTGCTTTTTTAGACAGCAATCAAGCGTTCCTTTGAATTGTCAGCTTCTATGGACAGGAAATGGAAATGAGATTTTACCATGAAAAATATCAATCATTTAAAGATGGTGAAATGGAAGAAAGATAAAAGAGAAGCGTCTAAAGGAATGGGAAAAAAAGTTATCAACAATGAAACTGTTTCATGTTTCATGTTCCATATCATTGAGATACTTGTTAATTTTGCGGTAAATGCAAGTGTATTTGAGTGAATATTATACACTGGAAGAGACATTGAAAAGACTGAACACTTTATTGAAATAATAGCAGCAGCAGCAGTAGCTACAATAACTACAGTAAGATGGTGATGATGATGAGTATATTTTAAACTGCACAAGATGATGATGAGAAAAAAAAGGAAAAGTGAAGACAAAATTTGGATAAAATTTGAATTTGAAGGCAATGAAGGCAATGCACACAAAATGAGGTTCAACAGTATATCGCATAAATCATCTTGGAAGCTGAAAAAGTAACCAAATTATTACAATGAAGGATAAAATCTGGAAAAAAATGTGAATATATGAAACTTTTCGAGTGTTTTTCAATCAATCTTACCAATCTTGTTTTTATCTTCTTATAACAGGTACATTTGTAGTGGCAATTTCAAGCAATGTTTTTATCAATCCAATAGTGCTTTTTAATGGCTCCAGATTTGGTTTCATTTGGCAATCAATACTTATCGGAATCTGGATAAAACAACATGGGCACCATGGGAAATATGGAATAAAGAAAGACAATTGAAGTTTCCCATTTGAATTGAATCATTTTTTCTCAAGGAAAAAAAAGGTTAATTTATTTTCTTTCAATTCAATATCAATAATTAAAAAAGTTGTAGCTTTAGAAGATTCAACCATTAATCACCCAAAAGTTGAATTGAATGGCAGATAACTTTTTTCTTATCTGAATTCATGTTTCGATTGCTCTTCAATTAATCAAAATTATTGAGTAAATTACTTTGCCTCCCACTGCTATTGTAAATGCTTGAAAAACATGAAAATGGATTGTTATTTCTTTTTCTTGCTCTTCCTTCAGTTATCCTTTTTATTATTTATTTTTTGCATCTTCTTGTTGCTATTATTATCATTTTTATCATTATTATTACAATATTTGATAACAAATGAAACATTTTTGCAGATAATCTGTGAAAAAAAGTTTAGATTCTTACATGGTTCAATTGTAATTGAGTAAAAAGTCTCTAAATTTTCTTGATATTTTCCTCTCTATTCTTATCTAGAAACATTCTTATTCAACCCTCTTTTTCATTCATCCTTCATGTTGATCATTTTTCCTCATCTTTTCCTCCCTCCGAGTTTTTTTCTTCATGCCCATCATCAAGCAATACTTACAAAAACGAGGAAACAAATTGAATACAAAATTTTTTAATAAATCATCAGTCCAGTTATTTGATTCGTATATTGCTTTATTCAATGTCTAATCTGCCCAGAAACTATTCAGTTTTACCATTCTCATTACCATTATCATCATCACTTGAAAATCCTTTTTTTATTCCTATTTTCATTCTTCCTCTTTTCTGTTCACTTTTTCATGGAGAGATATTTTTCCGCTCAATATCAGTGAACTAACAAAAGGGTGAAAAAAAGCTATCCTAATAGAACCAAATTTCTTACCCTTTTCTTTCATTTTCACTATTTCCTTACCACCAACAAAGCTCATCCATTGATCATATTTTTACATGTTATGAACATGTTTAGTAATGAAGGTTTTTAACCAGTGTAAGAAATGAATTTGAGAAAGGGTAAAAATAGAGCCAAGAGTGGGACAAAAGTAGTGAAATGTAAAGAGGGAGGGTAAGCAACGGTTAAATTACAGAGAGAGTGTGATTTACAATGGATGTCTTTCCGGGAGGAATAAATTTTAATTTGTTCACCCAAAATTCTTGAAATTACTTTTCCTGTTCTTTGCAAAAATCTTTAACCGATCCAATACAATTTGTTGTAATATTAACTCTATGAAGATTAAAATAAAGATGATGATAGTTTACACGATTGTAGGTTGAGATGGGCTGTGTAGGCGTTTTGTTCATGGTGGCACATAGAGAGTGAAGGAGGAGGAAGATAAAGATGAGAAGAAAGGTATTTCTGGAGAGCAGAAATGTATCTTGAGTTTTCAATTTTGCAAATGAATAATCTTCTTTTACTGTGATATCATGAAAAGATTAATTGTGATGAGGAGAAGAAAAGGGATGAAAATGATACTTTTCTATTAATACTAATGGTGATAATAAATTATTTTGTTTTTCCTTTACAGTGTTGACCTGGATACCGAGATGACCAACTTGGATGTAGACGTAAAGGACGAGATATGCAAAGTGAAACTTTTGAGCAAATATTTAAAGAGGATGTGGTTCGTGTGTTTGGGTCGGGTTCCTGTTTGAAGAACAGAAGAAGTACCTTCTTTTTTCATCATCGCCATCATGTTCATCTTTTTATTGTTGATGGCACACGAGTTGACGAGATGACTGTTGACTTTACTTCCTTTCCATATAAATTGAAGATGAAACGCATGTCATCTTAATAGGCACTGGAAGAGGCGAGCCAAAGTAAAGATCAAGACCAAACCCTCCAAACGCACTTAGGCTGATGACATGGAATCTCCTTTTGCTTCTATCAAAATGACAAAAAATCAACAAGATTATTGTTATTTGTAGCAAAAACACACACACATATTGAGGGAAAGACAGACAGTAAAGCGACCATTGGAGGAAAAATTACATGAAAATGCGTTACTGGAAAAAAGTGAAACTACTGATGGAAAAGACGAAACTAAAATTGATGTAAAGAAGGGCAAAAAAAGACCAAATTGAATGGATTCCTTTAGGCAGGTTGCTGTTTGAGTTTCTTAATATATTGACTCATTGACAAGCAAAGTCATAGAGTAAAATATATTATTATTTTATTATTATTATCATTATTATTACTATTTGACTTTGACTGTTTAATATATAACGATAAAATTATATCTGAAAGGTACCCGTTGTAGGAGATGTATATTTACCATGGGGATTCAATGTCCGTTGTTGATTTAAGTTTTTACCCCATGAGTTGAGCTTAAATTTATGTAGCTTAAACTACTCAAGGATCAATTGTTGATCACTGGTTTGATAGTTACAATTAAGGAGACAGAGAGTGAGATGGAAAGAGAAACAGAAAGTTGATGATGGGGTCTGATCTTTATACATTTTTTATTCAGTCACTTGCCATTGATGAGGATAAAAATAATAGTAATAATAATGTTGATAGTAATAACAGTAATAAGAGGAACCCGTAGGCACTTCTTTGTCCTCATCTTTTCACCAGTCTCACCATCACCATCAACATCAGTGATCTACTTCATTTTGGCGAAAACCTTATTTTTGTTTTATTATTATAATCTTTACAATGTTGTTGTTTTTACTCCATCTTCATCTTTATTGTCATCTTCACCATTCATTTTCTTGCCTTGTTATGTTAATACTTGTTTCTCTTGGGAGAAATGATGAAGATGAAAAGTCCTTTTCCTCTCTCTCTTTAATCTATTATTTGAGAGCCAAAATACAAGCAAAAAGGATGGTAAAGTGAAAAATATTAATTCATCAAAAATTGATGAAAGGATTTTTACCTTTTCTATTTCTTTGCCTTTTTCATCATTCCCATCTTCCTCGTCATCATCTCTCTCTCTCTCTCAAAACATCTCTCATTCCTGATCTTTTACCCATGAGACTTGATCTTAAGCTTGTAAGTTGAATTGATGAAGAAAAAAAATGGAGATAAAAAAACTCATTTCTTTGCATGCAGGAGCTGATTTTAAAAATTTTGTTTTTCCAAGTTATATCAAGTTCCAAAGCAGCATCAGTTCTCTTCATCATCTTTCTCCTGAATCTTGATAACTATTCCAGTTAAACTTAAATGAAGCATTATACGTTTTAGAGACTAACAAAGCCGATTTATATTGTATTTCGATGCCTTTTTAAGAAGAAACTCATCATTTTCTTGCTCCTTTTTCCATCTTCTTACATCGCCTTCATCATCTTACTTTAAATTTTTCTTTGTCTCTCTTCTCTTCAATTCTGGTCCAATTATTTTTACTGAAAACTCTGTCTGAACACACTTTTTTATAATATGCTACCGATGATAATAATAATGATGCTGATGATGATTATTATTTCTTTTCCTTCTCTTTCTCTGTTTTCCTTTCTCTTCATCTTATCTTTATCATCATTTTGTTTGTTTACAGTTCTCATTTAATTCAATAACATGATTCAATTTATAATATAATCATTTTGAATTTAGTTTGTTTGTAAACTTTATTTAACAAGGATTAACCTTGGATTTGAAAAGAGAACATGTTTTTGAAAAATGATATCAGGGTAAAAATGACGATCAACATGGAAAGATGAAGGAAGAAGAGGATTCCAAAAAAAGGTGATTAGAATGGTGATTATGAACTGAAATGTGAAACTTATGATATAATATGTATGTTTATGTGTAACAACAGCAAAATCATAAATGAACAGCAAAAATGATTAATAATTAAATGTTAAGCTCAGGAGTTTTTTTTTCACTTGAAAGGCACACACATTTGATGATGAAGATGGAAAAGGTAAATTTGCAGATCAACTGATGATGATGATGAGACTGAAAATGATTAACATGGAATGAAAATGAATTGTTACTGACGATGATTAATAATTCAAGATGATAAACAGGGTAAAAGTGGAAAATATATATTCTTTACATTCTAATTAATCATTAATTTTGAATGATTTTTACTCTGGCCTGTTAAAGGTTATGAAAAGATGAGCATAAAGAACTGAAAATTGATTCTTGTAATAATCATTGAAATGTTAATTTAGTTGCGAATTAAATTAAAAGTGCAACAAACTTACCAGAATTCATTAAAGTAGAGTTTTTACATAGAGTTAAAGTCAGGTTTTAACCCTCTCATGTAACGTAATTGAACAAAAATTGAATCAAATGTTTATGAATTTAATAACAATTACAAACAATATTCGGCTGATCATTAGTGAAAGTAATTATAATTATCATACGTATAACTGGGAAATCAACTGGAATCAGAAAACATTAGATAATTAAAGTGACAATTGAAAGAAGAGAAGAAGAGGAAAAAGCACAAACTTCGAGTCAATTTATTATTAACTGTTGATCCTGTTGGGAATTTATAATCACAATGTTTCTTGTAGCACTTGGTAAAAGAAAGCTTAAGCTTACAGACAATGATGAAAATGGCGATGATTATGAGCATAATGATGAGTCAACAAATGATTTTCAGTTTTTTTTATATTATTTTATCTTTAAACATAAAAATAATGGCGAATCCATCAACATTTTGACAAGACTTAAAATGGCTGCTAATGAATCTTGAACAAATTTTGACCTCTTATCAATTTTCTGGTACTTTCTAATCATTCTGATTGGTTAACCAATTTTTCAACTTTTATTTTCTTTAATAAACGTTCAATTGGCAGACAGACTTGAAGACAGACTTAACCAGTTGTCTGGAGACAGACTGGCGACTTTAAGGCGAGAAAAAGGTTCTCATTGTCTAATTTTTTACTTCTGTCTTGGCTTCTTTATTTAATGCAACAAATTGCTATAAAATTGGACCATTATATTGGGTAAGTGGATATTTTTTACTTTTATTTTACAATTAAGTAGCTATTCAAGTGATTGAAGTGTTGTATAACAAAAGTAGATTACTGATTAAGTTGATTGGATTAGGGAAATGCTGCAGATTTTATTAGCCTATTTTATATTCAATAATTGTTACTCTTTTTTTAAAAAGGCAACACATTACACTTCAAGTACTTGCTGTCTGTGTTGCAGGAAAGTTTAGTTTTGTATTAGTTTTGGATTGATTTAAAGAGTAGTTTCTGTTACATATATCATTATAATACAGTTTGATACAATTAGCTGATCCTTTTGTTGTTTAATCAAGCTTGATTATATCACAAGATAAAATGATTTTGATGAGAAAAATTTTGACAGTAACCGTATTTTGTTTGATATTATTATTAATGTAAGTGTGTTAACCATTGAAAAAATATATTCACTGAATCGAGGGTCTGTCAATAGGAACTACAAAGTGTCATTGATGCTGTTTAACCGCTAATTCAAATACCTTTTCTCATCAGCCTACTTCTCATCCTTCCTCACCATCCTTATCATCCTCATTTGTGCATCCCTTTCCCTTTTGTCTTCAAACTTCAACTTCTCTCAGAGCCCCTCAATCCTGTCCAATGTGTACTTTTCACCATCCCCAGAGTCATCCATACTTGAAAAACCTCGCATCGGATAAACTCAAGTACATCTATTTTTCTTCCCATTTTTTTGTTATTCTCCACTTTTTTCTCTTCTCATCGTCTCTCTCACTTTTTCATCATTTCCATCTCCATCTCTTTTCACTTTCTCTCTGTAATGTTACAACATTTTCCCATCAATCTACAGATCTGACATGATATTTTAGTTTGAGTGGTAACTCTCTTTTTCTCTCTCTCTCTGTATTGTCTGATTGTATTGAATATGTTATATGACATATTACTTTGATACATATGAATGTATCCACATTGACATTCAAGTTTACAGTTGGGACAAGTTACCACTGTCAACTTACCATGATGAACCTTCAATCAACTGATTGCTGTTAGAATTGATATTACAGTTGTTATTGTTGTTTTCGACCAATAATTCATTTTTCTGTGTTTTTTCAGAGAAGCAAACGAGAAACACTCTACATGGAGATTGAAATAAGGAGATGGTGAAAGAAGTGATGGATTCTCAAGATAGTCTCGAGATCAGATAAAGATTGTCTAATAAAAAAACTCGCTTTCCTCAAGATTTGGCTCTGTGGAAGTTTCCACAAGAACGAAAAGACAAAGTTATCATCACCTATTTATCTACTTTTTTTCACCACAACTGGAAAAGTAATTCTGAGTAAGGTAAGGCATGTTTTTTGTCAATTAAAATTGAAAAAGCTCAATCCAAGACGAAATGTAGTAATGAGCCAGAAAATGTGAATAACAAAAATTCCAATGACCGATATTCTTTATATAATTCCTAAAATCTCTATTTCATTATTCTTAGATGATCAATCCGAAGAATTACAATTATACACTTTTTCTGTCTATTGATTATCCAAGCTTTTTTTCTAAAAAAGAAAAAGCTCCAAGAAAAATGACTTATTCATGTCATGTCTATTCTTCTTTCGAAACAGAGTTTATAACCTTATTTGAAGGTCATCACACCAATTTGGATTGATACTTGATCTTGATTGCTCAATCACTTGTGAAAAAGATGGTTAACTTGTGAAAAAGATGGTTAAGTTGATAAACTGATTGGTCAAGCACTGGAAAGAACAAAAAAGATAAAGGATTAATTCTGAGCAGATATAAAAGCTAAAAGTGAAAAGACTAAAGATGGTGGAAAACATGAAACATTAAGTGATTAAAAGATAATCAAAATCAAGGTAAGATTCACTTACTTTAATCAATTAATACTTTGATAATGTTACTACAATCAACCTGTGGACTTAATTAAAGGCAATTATCAAAGCTAAAAAATTAGATTTATTAAGCAAATCACCAGAAAAGCCATTGATAACAGTAGGAGTTTAAACCAAGCAATAAAATGGAAGCTACAATCATTTCTTCATCAATTTCATGTCATTTTTTTCTTGCATATTAAAACTTGAACAATCTTCCTTCTCTCTCTCTTCCTATATTGATTCTTTTTCTTCTCTTTCATCTCTTTCTTTTCTTCTTATCTTCCTCTTTCTTTTTACCTTTCTCTCAACTGTCATTGCTCCTATTAGATTACGCTCTCACCAATAGATGGAGATAGCATTAGGGCTCTCTCTTTTCTCTCTCAAAGTTGAGGGTAAATGACTGGCGAGAGAAAAAGTTAGTTGTTGCTCAGCATTTGAAGGCAACTTGAGTTCAACTTTTGGATAATACATTTAATATTAGTTACCAACAACATGATCTACTTTGTGCTCAATCAACTTGGCTTTTTCTACTTCTATTACTCTTCTAATTTCGCTTTGTTTTCTTCTTATCCTCATTGAATATCATCTTCTACTTGTTTATTAATGATTCAATGTTTCTTTTACTTATTGCTTCACTTCTTCCATCGTTTCTCTAATTGCAAGAATCTTCTCTTTTTTCTGCCTCTGTAACGATACCAGTTTCTTCAATGTGTTCTGTTTTCTGTTGAATAATATGTTTTCACTTTATTGTTTCACGTGTGATGATTGCCAAAGATTATTGTGATAGCTTTTTAAGAAGCTATTTTTTCTTGATAAGCTACCTGGTCTGACTTTGGTTTTATGTGTATAATCATCTTTTTTTCTTTTCTGGTTTAAGTGTTCATCTTGTTCATCTTTATCTATCTGTTTTGTACTTTTTTTTGAGACTACCAATTACCATCTTTACACATCAAGTTGATAAAATTTAGATGTAATCATGATCATGATCAATCTTTTGATTACCATTTGGATACTTTTGATACCAACCTGTTTATCAAATCATCAATATCCTTTCAATCAATTTGAAGATGAAAGCTCTACACCTAACAGTAGATTTGGAAGTAGACCTTTCAAATCTACTCAGGGCAGATTTCTTGACAGAGCTCAGTCCTCGCCACTAGCTTCATCTCCTATTAAAAGTGACCATTATCAAAGATGGAAACCTAAAAGTTACATTTGCAATAAATCTATGCCACTTGGCATGCAATCGGGTGCCATAAAAAATGAACAGTTATCTGCATCATCAACATATAACGATCAATCAGTTGGACCAAAATTTGCTCGATTCAATAGAGATGAATCAGGAGGTGCTTGGTGTCCTCAACCACAAGTTAATCAAGAAAATTCTGGTTCAGAGTGGATACAAGTTAATTTAACTGATAGATATGTGATTACCACCGTTGCCACTCAAGGACGGTTTGGCAATGGAAATGGTCGTGAATATTTGGAAGAATATTTTATCGAATATTCTCGTGATTTTGGTTCCACATGGACCAAATGGAGAAACAGTAAAGGACAGACTCATTTAAAGGGAAACAACGATACTTATTCTAATGTTACCAGCATTCTGGATTTACCAATTGTTGGTGCAAACATGATTCGGATATTTCCCTTTGCTAAACACTTACGTACTGTTTGCCTTAGATTTGAACTTTATGGTTGTCCATATAAGGATGGACCACTATCCTACTCAATGCCTGACGGTGCCTTCGGTGGTCGTTATGGCGATCTAATTGATGATAGCTATGATGGAACTCGTGATAAACGTAAATATCTTTCTGGTGGATTGGGTCAGTTGGTTGACGGAATCAAAGCCCATGAAGATTATAAAGTAAACTCTGGTTATGAGTGGATTGGCTGGGAAGCTGGCAATGAAACTGTTGAAATTATCTTTGAATTTGGCGAACTTCGTAATTTTAGTTCCGTCATGTTATATACTCATAACCTTTTCAATAAGCATATCGAAGTTTTCAGCTCAGCTAGAATTTACTTTAGTTTTGATGGAATTCGCTGGTCGAAAAGTCCGCTAGTTATGGAATATCAACCTGACCATATAACAGAATCACCAAGAGACGTTATAATCAACCTCAACAACAAAGTTTCTAAGTTTATCAAGTTTTCTTTGAAATTTGCCTCTAAACTTTTATTGATAAGTGAGGTTAAATTTAATTCATTCCCAGTTTCTGGTGACTATAATCAACTTATGGATGATTTGGAAAGCCTTGAGGTGATCCAAGACTCAGTTGAACCAATTGATCACAGTGGACCTTCAACTGGTAGCATTTTACTCATTGTTTTCTCCATAATTGTGTTCATTATCTGTGCCATTGGTATCATCTTTTTGGTTCGACGGTATATCGCTGACCGTTCAAAGACAGACCACTTCCTCTCTATTGGGACCAATTATCTTGATTCACTTGATCCATGCAAAGGTGCAACCACGCCTGTTTATTGTGATCCAGATGAAATTAATAACTATCATAACTCCCGTGGAGGAAGTCATAATCATCACCATCATCAGCTTACTCATCTTCAACAGCAACAATTGCGATATGATCATGAATATGCTGTACCCGACATTTGTAATTACCAGAGTGGAAATGTTGGTGTTAAAACAAAACATTTAATAACAAACCCTCTTTCAAATATTGATAAGTTTGAGAAAGAAAAAAATTATGTAAATTACATGAAACATAATAATGTGGTCAGTGATAACAATAGTGATTACAATGATATTAAACCATTGGCTGATAAAAGTGATCATGAGCCTACGTTAATTAAGGTCAACAGTGGAACATTAATTAATGGTTTAAACACAAATATTAACAATGTTGGTGGACCAAATGTTGACGATGATGATGATGATCACCGTCAACATGCTGTTAATCCACTGATTGATAATCATATGTTTTTGCTCAAAAGTAATCATCATCATCTTATATCATCATCACCCAATAACTTAACATCAACAGACTCGACAAATTCATCATCTTCATCACCTAAATATGGGACAATAACCACAGCAAAGCAGCGTTTTTTGACATCAGATGTAAATAAACAACGCCAAGGCTACAGAGCTGTTGCAGTATCATCATCAACTGGACGACGGATCGATCGACGTTGAACCATCAATCGACAACTCAGGCGATAATGTATCACGATTAATTTATGACTAAAAAGAGACCCATTCAAGAATGATCAAGTCAGTGGACTGGAAGTGGAAATGACAATCTACAACCAATGATAATTTGTCCATTTAATAGTTGAATGATCAAACACAATCAAAGTCAAATGATTATTCACAATGCACTCACTCAAAGATTGAAGTATCATCATAAAGTCTCATCAAGATTCAAATTTTGATGAATATTTTAAATAAGATGAAAAACGATCAAAAGCAAGTATCGATTACTGTATTTGACTTATCTAATCAATTGGACGATTGGTTTCAAAGAGGTGATGCTCTTTCCCACTCCAACGCTGACTTTCTTGAAGCATCTCTTTTTTTCATCATTTTCACTTTCTGTTTTTCATCTCTCCTTAATTTGTGTGTTTTTTTCATTCTCTTCCCAATCTTCTTTCAACCTCGTTTATCATCCTTATCCTGGTCCCTTATTCGCCTTGTAAAATATATTGTGAATAGTGTAATAATGAAAAGTGATGATTTACTTGAGTGTTGATCGAAATTAAATTGATCTCACATGTTTTTGTAAAGAAAAAAAATCAATGTCCTTTAAAAAGGATATCATAATTTGTTCTCATAATGTGTCTTTCCTTTAATGATTTTGTGAGCTGGTCACCACTGCCAACTTCCGCCCTCTTCATGACAACAACACAACACAAAACCTTGATTACCCAACTGATCCGGTAAACGCCTTTGCCTATGTATCTTTAATCATGACCATCTCCATCATCAATTCACAAATGTTTTACTCATTTTCATCTTCATTTCTTCATTCTTTTTCTTTTCTGTAAATTTTTCTCTCTTGATTCTTGTTCAGTCAAAAAGATTTAACAACAAAGCAGTAGGAATTTGTTAGACAATATCAGAGAGATTAAGTTTAATGGTATGAAATGAAGATGAAAATGACGACTTCAAAAGGAAAGACATAAAATAATGTAAAAAAATATATAATACAACTTATATAAATTCATATTATAAGAACAGAAAAATGCTAATTAAAAGAAAATTTTTCTATTTTTTGCAAACAACTTATCTTATTTTTTTCACCCAAACCAGACAAACAAACACCGGAAGGTCAAGGTTGGAAGCATAAGGATCCTGTTATTAGTTGATTAACAAGTACAATAAGTTGAAACAAAAACGCTGAACGGAAAAAGATTTTCAATAGGAATTATTAATGATGAAAGGCAAAGCGATTTAAATTGTTGCATTCATTAATATTTAAACTGTTAGTTGTTTGCATTACAATTTACACCCAAGTGAAAGTTGAACACTGAATACAATATTAGGAAAGGGACAACACAAATGTTATCTTATTTGAAGAGGAACACAGTTACACATCAACTTGGCAAATATTAAATGATAGAAATTGACTGGCTACAAACATCATGTTATGACAATTTATAAATTAGACAAGAATCACTGAAGCTGGGATTGATTTTATTTTACCATAGAGTAAAGTGGAAAACAGATAATTCAATTTCCATCATAACATTATAATGATAAACATGGAAGGAGTTTGTTGTTTATTATCATAATACAAAATCCAAATCAACTTATGCTTCCAACTTGCAATATAAAGCTTCTTCGAATGGTACTTGATTCATAAATCATTATGTTTACTCTATTCTTAATATCTTCTTGTTCCTCATCCCTATTTACATCTACATTTTGTGGTTCCTTTTACTTTTTGATTAAAGTAATTGATACACTGACAGCCTGAGAAGCGAAAGGAGTTTCAATATTCATTTTGAAACATTATTCACCATGAAAATGTAATTACCTTTTGACGTGTTAAATACATCAGATGTGAACATTAATCTATGAACAAGAAGAAGAAGAAGAAATTAAAAATTTCGAGTAATCATTTTTAATTTAATGCAACTATGTAGTTACATTTATTGAAATTGTGATGATTTGCTCACGGGCTTCACTTGAAAACATGGTTTATGTACAAATAATGATAATTCAATAGAGCCATGTTTAAAGAGAAATTGTTTTGATTCTAATTTCATTTCTCAGCGCATTTCTCACAAGAATTTTTTCAGTTTTAATTGTAATCTTTGATTGTTACCTTCTTCATCAGCTTCCCTAACCTGCTCAACATGACTATCATATTAATGTTACTAATGGTTCATAATGATTATGGTGATCATTGTAATTTATCAAATATCATCTCTAACAATGAAGCTCAAAAACAAACACAATTATGTGTCTGTATATCAGTTAATCAGATAACGAGGCTTGATTGTTCACACTCACAAAACACATTAGCAAACAAACAAGTAACATTGTTTAAGAAGCTCGTTAACCAAACTACAGACCATTGTATTGACATAGGTTAACATTGAGAAGAGAAGAGAAGTTCCTTCATCTTCATCATCATTTTCATCTTATTTTTCTTCTTCTCCTGAAAAAGTATTTCCCTCAACACGATAAAACCATAAGATTTTTTTTGTGTCTAAGAAAAGTTAACAAATGCAATAATAACGAGAAGAGGAATGAAACAAATAACATAAACTAATTTAACTTGATTCACGGCAATTAAAGTTAATCATGATAAATCACTTAGTAGGTGAAGCCAAGAGACAAGACCAAGTGTCAAGTTCATTCGCTTGATTCACCAAGTTTTTTACTTCTCCACATTTCTCACAATCTAACAATGAAATTTACTTTTTTTACCAACCTTTCAAAATTATTTCATTTTATCCATTAAATCTAAATATAACACCGTTTAATAGGTTCAATGTTAAGGTTCAAGCCAGTCAACTTGCTTTAATAACAGTTAAATAGTCAACAGAATCAGCATATTTTTGATTCCAAGTTGAACACATTAAAACTCATTTCCTGCATTTTGTTACATATTTTCAGTTGAACCAACATTAAGTTTTGGTTTTAAAAAAAGATGTTATGATCATTCAAAACAGGCAAATTTGATAGCTTGGTTAGTCTCCAAGTTAACCAGAATTATTTTGATCAATTCTCACTACTTTTATTACTGTGAATCAAGATCGCAGTTGTAATCAATGGCTATTGATCATAAAATGATTAACATCAAAAGTATCCATGGAGAGACTGAAAAGAAAGTCAATTATCATTATTAAATTGAGATTTTTCAAGATGAACATTAAAATGAAGATGAATGCTCATCTTCCTTCCCGGATGCCTTAACATGGTTTTCAATGTTTTCATGGAAAAGGCGAAATATTTTTCCATCTCTTCGATCCGATTTCCTACTTTTTTCACTTATTACTGAACTCATTATAAGGACAACTTATGACCACTTGATTGTCATAAAACATCAAAGAATGGTAATAACAATATTAATAATATTGTACATAATAATAGTGATGAAGATGAAAAGTATAATAATGTGAATGACTAAAAATGAAGAGATAAAGTTGATTGAAATATAATAATAAATGAAATGTTTACGAGTGATAAAGATAAACATATAAACTTGTCTGTTTCATTTGTTAATATGATGATCAGAGAGATGATTTAAGGATGAGCGTATGATGAAGAACAGCTATTGATGAGAATGATGGTGAAAACTCAGCCCTAAACGGATTCTGAGAACAATAAAAAAGGGAAAAACATTTCTTTTCATTCCTCCAAGTTATGGTGCAAAAGGCAGCATTTTTTTACCTTCAATAGCATTGCGTGTTCAACTCCATATAATACGTACTTTTGGGCCTTAAATTTTGTGCCCTTTAATAAAAAGGGTAACTTCATCTCACGAACCTTCATCTTTTCATCTTGATAATTCGTGCTTCAAATAAACAACAACAGCAATAATTATATAATGATATATGATAAAATGTATGAAAAGCGTACCTTTGGGTTTGTAACCACTATTGGGTTAAAATGAAAAGATATCTTCATTTGGAAAAGCAAAGAGCAAGAGTAAGATCAATTGACTTCTTCTGTACGCCTTTTTTGTCTCGCATTTTTCCTCTTCCTATCATCATCATCTTCATTTACATCATCTTTACTCTCTCTCTCTCTTCTCAAGACATTGCAAACGTTTTCTTAAAATATCATAAACTTTACTTTATGTTGATGTTTATGTCTTTTTTGTGCTTGCTTTTCAACTGTATTTGGCATTGATCACTTTTACTTGTCTTACCAGTTAAGATAAATTTTGAAAACCTCAACATCATTTGTCATAACTAACTTTAACAGCATCCTTCTCATCATTTATATTATCATTTCTGAGTTTAGTGTTTTCAGAGGAAACCTCTTTAATTGAAACCTCTTCGATTCCTCTTCATGAACTAATTAGCAAAGAATCACAATCAAGATTAAGATTACTTACTTGGTTTCCATTGATTCCCTTTACCATCATTTTCATTATCAACTTTTTTTCAATTTTCATTCCATCAGCCATGTTTCAATCCTATCTTCAATGTTACCATGAATGATTTACACTTTCAGCTGTTTCATGTCAACATTAAACTTTCCAAATTAATTGGCTCATTGTAGGACATTCATTTAACTATAACAAGTTAAACATTAGTTCAACTATTTAAAAACGCTAATTGGGCTAATTAAGATTTAAATTTGTATTTAGCTTTTCTTTTAAATTTATCGTGATAATTTCGTGCTGAGTTGATCCGATTTTTTTACTGTTATTTTATCTCTTTTTTGTACGTTCATTAACATTATAATTGATAACAATGATTCTGTTATCATTACTGTTAACTGAAGCAAACACTGAAAGCTTAAGTTTTTTTAGCAACAAATTCAGGCAACGTCCATCTCTGAGTTATAATGTTCAACAGAAGCAACATGATTAACATGATAATTTATTTACACTCAACTGAGTAAATAGTATTAAATCATCATTTAATACATTCAATAATAATCATCATAATCTTGGCTATTTAAGTAGCTTACCTGGGTAAAAATATTTTGTGTTAATTTGAAATATACAAAAGATTAGTTGAAAAATAACAGAACACATGTTAACATTAGGAATGAAATTTATGAGAATCAGATAGGCATTTGGAGGATGGTAGAAGTGAAAGAATGATTAAGATGATGATGATAACAATAATGATGATGATGATTGGGATGAAGTTGACATTTGTGTTGGATTTGGCATTCGTCTGGTTCAGATGTTGACGATGAAGTTGGTGAGTAAATTGTGATTTTTAATAAAGATAACAATCAGATAGAACCGATGGCTTTCCAGGTTTTCCTTAAACATTCAGAGTCGACTGGAATAAATGAGAGAAAAAAGAATCAAATTAGTTAAATTAATCAAATAATATCTCAGTTAATCATCAATAGTTAGACAAGACGTTTATGAGAGATTTGACTTTGTAAAAAAAATACTAAATAATGAGAGTTAATCAGCTTCTGGGAATACATTATTACTCTCATTATTACCATTGCTGCTATTATTATTATCATTAAACTGTAAGATAAAAAGATGCTGATGATAACCTAAAGAAGAGGAAAAGAAGACGAATATACAAAGCAAATGAAGATGAGAAAAGAGGATTTAAAATGTTTTTTTTGTTAACTTTTCATTCTATTAATGTTTCTTAAATCCATCATTTCTCACACTTTTTGCTGCTCAAAATACATATCAATGTAAGTATTGAATAATTTTAAACTGTTCAATAATACAAATCTCAAACAATTTGAGATAATCTTTTCCTGTAAATAAACTGTAAACTCTTTCCATTTAGCACAAGATATTTTAAACACTGTTACCTGTGGTGTTGAAAGGTGATAACCTGTTTAATGTTTTGTTTTTCCTGCAACATTAAAAATCTTTTCCCAGAGTAACGTAAGACTTTGCTGAAAATAAGCCTGAAAAAAGACAAGAAAAAGGATAAGAAGAAGATTATTTGAAAAATTTTCAATTCAGTTGTTCTTACCTCATCTTCATCGTCTGATTACTTCTCATCTTTAATGATATTGATCAGCTTGAAGAGGGATGAAAATTATGATAAGAGGAGCTGAAGATTAAGATAAAGTAGTCTTGAAATGTTGAAAGATGAGGACAAATTGAGTGGAAGATGATGTGAAGAAGATTGGTCAATAAGAAAGAAAAAAAAGTTCTTAGGATGTCTTAAGATGTTTTCTGTTAAGAGAAATACAAAAGAAGAGCAGAAAGAGGATTAAGATGAAGATGATGTGGATGAAGATAAATGAAAGAAAAGGGCAAGAGAGGAAAAAAGGTGAAAATTTGCCTCAATTTGCCAACAATTTGTTTCTCATCCAACGCCATTGACCACAAGAATATTTCTCATCAAGATTTTCCCATTTCCAGCCAACACTTTACTTCAACTGCTGTCTAACCGGAAATTTACTTAATCATTTTTAATCATAATCATAATTATTACGATTATTAAGAAATAAAAGACGGAAAGGGCGTGTTAACCATTGTCTCCATTCATGTTTACACTTTCACATGTTTCACGTGTTAACGTCTTGCCCTCCTCCTTTATCCGCCTCCTCATCCTTTTGGTAAAACATCATGTTACACGTGCTGAGATGATAATACTGATGATGAGACTTTCAAGATGTAATGTCAAGAGTAAAGTGAACAGAAAAATGGATTCTCCTTTAATTCACATCCATCCTTTTCCCAGATAATTTGCTTTGTATAACATCATCATTATCCTCTTCATCCCATGGTCTTCCTCCTTTGGGGTAAATCTGAAAAGATTGATAAAAGGTAAAAACAATATAATTAAGTTTAACAATTTTTCATTGATTTGCTTTTTTGCACCTTCTTCATTATTGTTATTGTTTTTATAAATTATATCTGTAAAGGTAATTGTAATAATCATGTTTCAAGGCAGCAAATTAAGAAACATGTTATTAATCAAACTTTCATTTAATAACATTTTTTTTCACTTTGCTTTTGCTATTTTTACAATTCAATATTATTGTTATCATCATTATTATTGCTATATTATTACTAATATCATCTAAACAACTCCCTTTTCATCATTATTCAAGACAAAATCTTTACCTTTTACCTATTATCATCTTTGTTATCCTCTTTTTCTTATTATTTATCAAGACTATTTATTAATATATTTTCACTCCTAGTATTATTATTATCATTATAAAAACAGTTATTTCTTTGTTAACCAATCAACTCAACTTCAATATTGGTATAAGGATAATGAACACTTTGCATAAGCTAATAATCATGGAGAAATATTTTCTGAGTTAACTTTCTTTTTCTTTTCTTCTTCCTTTTCAACCTTAATAATAATATCAAGTGAATGTAGATATTATGGGCATGAAATATGAACTAATTAAGGAATAAAGTAGCCCTTTCTCCTGATCAAGATAAAGGTAATAAGATGAAAGGTGAGTTGCTTTAAGGTGACTGATTGTTACCAGATATTTCATGAAATTTTTGGACACCTAATGTTATATCAAAAATGTTGATCATGATAATGATAGTAATGATATTGTTCTCATGTGACAAGGCAACTGGTCATTACTTTCATGGACACATGAAGAAGGAGAGAAAAGTGGGTGTTTTAAAAGGTCACTAGTGAGGTGGTGATGGTGGCTTGGTCTGGCTAATAATGGCTAAGAAAATGTTATCATCAGCAGTTGAGTGTGAAGACAAATGGCCTGAAAATATAACCTTAATGTAACCTATTTTTTCAGCTTTTGCATCGTCATTAGTTTTAATATGACTTTGAGACAATCAAATTATCTGTGTTAAGTTATAACACTTTTTTAGTTTCTTCAAACTTTGCAATCAAATCATAATCTTAGCTTTTATTATCATCTCGTTGCAGGATCAAAAAATTATTTTCAGCTGGATAATTATGGCTATCATGGTAATCATCATTAACCCGATAATAATCTAGTATATTTACTTTGTCGACCATGAGGGACAAGGCTTTTGTTTATGATTAAAAATGAGTTGATTGTTTCTCTTCCATTTATTTCATTGCCATTCACGGTAATAAGAGTTAATGAGAAATTTTGTCGCTTTGTCTGGATCAACACTTTATAATTTGTTTCCTAAATGAATTCATGAATCTGAGAAATTGGAAAAAGAAGAGAAAAGAAATTAATTATCAAAATATGAAATGATATTGTTTGTTATTGATCATAAAAATGGATAGAAAAAAAACCAACAGGTCAAGGTAAAGGTCATAATGAGTTAACTTTGAAGATTTGAGACTGATGATTAATGGTACTTACAAAGTGAGAATGAAACAAGAATGATTATGATGAGTGAGAATGAGATGATGATAATAATGATGATGGCAAAGATAAAGGTATATTATAAATGATTGAAGCGATTGGTTTTAGTTGGAAATTGTTTCTTTGAAATATAAGCCGAGAGTGATTTCAAGACTAAATTAAAACTGCAAGCAAATTTGGGTAGACAAGTTTAAATGGAAATGATTATTATAACCTGAAGCCATTTTTTACAAGTAAATTGATTGAAACTCACCTAAGCATAAAAATAAGGTTAGGGTGAAAAGTTGTGAGTAAAATAATAGCAAAGTAAACCGACTTTTGAGAGTGAAGAGGAAAAAAAACGAAGAAAAAAGAGAAAGCAGAAAAAGATGTTCTTTTTGCAAGATGATGATTATTATAATGATGATGATAGTATGTTGATGGTGATGTTGAGAGAGAGAGAAGAGCAGGATACACAAAGTGCCAATGAAGTGAACCCAGAGATGATAATGATGAGGAAAAAAATGTAGACACAAAATAAATACTTGTAACATAGGATATATGGTCAACACATGTTGATAGGGAAGACTCTAGAAGGTAAAAACAATAGACTAACCTTGTTACTTAAATCACTGTATTTGGGGTAATTTTTAGCCTCTTCAAAGGGCCTTAAGGTTATTTTGAATCAAGGGATCATCAGGGTTTGTCCATAATCACTTTTGATTAACTAGTTGATGAAAATATTATTTATTTAAACAACTTTTCAACTCATGATTATAAAACATGTAAATTCAAGTTTAGTTTAAGGGTTGGGCAAGTGACATAATGGGACTCGAACCGGGATCAAATTTGAAAGCGCCATTTTCAATTTTCATTAATTATAAATAAATTTTCAACTTTTAACCTTAAGTTGCTTTATTATTGATTAAATTGAGTTTTTTTATTCAAAGACAATTATATAATTGATTATAAATTAGGCTTTTGTTTTAATAGCAGTTAACTGTAAATCGCAGAATTGGTGATAATTTTGCTTTCCATTAAACTAATGATTTGAACAAATACGAATCCAAATGTGTTGAAATTATAACTCTTCAGGCTCATAATTCATTTTATTAATGCCAAAGCTCACGTTACCATGTATGCTAATTAATTAACTGTAATTAAATAGAAAAAAGAACAAAACGAATGCATCATTAACTGGAAATGTGTATTGATTGATTTCACTTGTTTTCACATAAATTTGGATTGCAGTTACGATTTTCTGGGTTAACATTGCCTGGGATTGTTCAGCTCAGTTTATTATTAGAAACGCTTTCAATATGCTGCAATGAGGAAGCAAAAGAGTAAATGAGAAACCAGTTGTAATCAAAGTATAATATCTCACAAAATCAGTGATAATCAACTAACCTTATTACAATGGCTCCATGATTTGTTCAACTGTTAACTGATTGAATATTTAGGTGGCAAATATGGTTCATAATGTGCTACTTAAAAGCTAAATTTTAACACAATTTGTTGATCGATTGTTATACCAAATGATTGATGGATACTCTGTTAATTAATGTCAAATTCAAAGAGATAGATGTAGAGTAATTAAAGAAATTGGCATCAACTTACATTGCTTGGTTAGCTCTTTTTGAAATTTGCGACAAACATCATCAAAATACCGCTATTTTCAAGTACAGACTGAAAAAAGGAAAACAAAAATACAGTAAAAAACAATCAATTTCAATGTAAACATGCATTGTAAATAGAGTAGCTTTAAGTAATGGACTTACAAAGAGAAAGGAAGATTGTGTCAATATAAAAATGTGACAACAGCTAAATCCAGTTTCACCATTTTCAAATCTTTCTTGAGTTGAATTGATCTAAAATTACAATTGAAACAAAAGAATAGGGAAATAAACAATTGTTGAAAAACTGATCAAATTAACATAAGGAAAAGGAGAAAAGAAATAAAAGAGTTCAAATTGAAACTTACCCATAAAGCAATGGATTCTGGTAAAACCTTGACACCCCGAGCCTGAATTGAGAAATTTTTCTCACGAATCTCGGCTATCTGAACAAGGAAACAATGAGTTAATTAAATTAACAGTCAATAAACTAAACAAATTGAGATTGATTGTGTGACACAAACAGAAACAAAATGATAAAACAAAACAAAAAACATTTACCCTTTGAGCTACGGTAAAATATGCTTCATTACCCCCTACCGTTAGGTTCACGAAACACATTATTTTACAAGAGTGTCAATTGTTTTGATTTATATTGATTGTGATTTAACCGACAAAGCTTACCGTATTGTTTATTGCAATGCCAGACAGATGAAGTAAAAGTAAATTACTGAAAGCGGTGCAAGCCAGTGCGAAACAGATGATGTTCATTACAGGGGAACCGCCATCGATAAATAAACCTAAAAAGAGGTTAAAATCTGCAAGGAAACATGAAATCAAATAGCCTGTCCACATGGTTGGAGCTGCGTCTGAATTTATTGCTTTCAGCAGGTTGAGCAGGGAATTTTGTCGCCGAATAAACTCTCGGATTAAATCTAAATTGTTGGCTGTTTGACCAGAGTCCATTTTTTTCAATATCCTGGCACCAATGTGATCAACCGAGGTAAAGGCAAGAAACAAATAGTTTGATAAAGTCATGGTGTGAGTGTAACTCCAGAAAAGGGTAAATATATTTGCTCCAAGTGGACCAGTGACTATAAGGATCCAGAAAAAGTACCAAATGAAATGGTAAATGGATTTGTAAAGAGCCGGATTTTCAAGAGCAAATATTGCAGAAAGGACAAACAGCGAAACGGCCACAATTGGAATAACAATGAAGAAAAATTGGAGCGCAATGTACGAATAAAATCTCCAAGTGTACTCATGTTTTGAGGTTAAAAATTTACGTGCCGTTGATAGACCATTGAGTTTGATTGTATTGAAAAATTGAAAGCTTAACTGAGGCTTACGAGAATCGGCAATGTGAAGTGCGGCTCGAGAGGAAAAAAAGAGCAAATAATAGACTATAATGTTGGCGTGAAGAAAATTTTTGCCTTTGGTTGAGCTGAAAAAGTCGCCTAGATAGAGTGAGTCCTCTGGATCATCGGAAACAATCAGAGTCACTGATCGAGCCACAACAATGATGAACCAAATGTGACTGCAAAAATGATAAATATGGTGAAAGGTTGACATTGAACCTTCCTGTTTGTAACCTCGGATATTGGCACTCACAATGGATCCAATCCGTTCCAATTTACCAAATGCTTTAATGAAATGCTCTTCATTGGCTTGATTTTCGACAAACGATTCGATTTTGGTCTTTAATTTGGTCAGCATGATCAATTTGGTCTATTTTAGCCAATCAGTTGGACAATAATAAACTTGTCTTTAGGTTGATCTTGAAAAGCTTGTATTCTTGATGTTTCTGAACAAAACAAATCACTTGACACTTGCTGCTTATTGAACAAAACTATTCATTTGTAATGAATAGATTAATCAGCAAAACTGGTCTAGTTCAATAAAAAACAACAACCACAATGTAAATTATCTTGTTAATGATTGCTTGCGATTCAGTGAAATAGAAATCGATTTATTCTCATTCAATTACTATAATCTTAATTGTCAGTTTAAACGCTCTCTACTTATTGATCAAGATGTTTGTCAAAACTGTGTGTTTGATTAAAAGCAATGCAATGGCAATGAATGAACCCAGTAAACAAAGATATTTGATTACCAATTTAATTTCCACGAAAAAGTGTAATTTTATTCAAAATATTTTGGATAATTACAAAAACGTTTGCAGTGGGTCCACTGTTTACCAAGAATAAGCTTTTGATCTTGATTGCAGTTGATTTAGATTTGAAATATTCAACGTTTAACTGTTACAGTTTGTAGTTTACAAAACTGGAACATTTTATCATTCTCTGAAGTAAATGAAAAATATCAGCTTTCATGATAATCATCAACCGTAAATCAGTGAATTACTGATGACCAAATAAAACATCCTCAACTCTACCATTGTCATCATCTGTATTTGGTTAACTCTAAATTATTAAATAATAGTAATTTACTCTCAACCATTCATTCATCCTTCCTTCCCTGCCGCTCTCCTGACTCCTCTTTTAATCATCATCTTGCTCATCCTCATGACTCAATATTACCCATCTTCATCCTCTTCTTTATTCACCATTAAGACTGATAATACAATAAAAACAAACCTTTGACCAGTCAAACCCGACTTCAATTTCAACTTCACCCCTTAAATTGTTCCTATGGCAACTCTCTAGCCAAGGGTAAGTTGTAAACAACCCTTAATGTTGAACAATCATTGAAATTCAATTGTATTGAATAAACTGTATGTTTCTGGTTCGATCTCGGTGTATACTCTGAGAAATAAACTGAAAGTAACTTGTAATATCCAACTGACTCAATATATTTCATTTTAATTTTCTGCATTTCCCTTTTTTCATTTCATTTCAGGCCAACATTTATATTTATGGACTCTTTCACTCTGTGTATTACTGTGAGTATTATTTTCTCCCATTGATCTCGATCTCTTTTTTGCTTCTCTTTCTTTCTCTCTCCTTATTATAATACGCCCATTTATTTTCCCGCAAACTTTACTTCATCAACCTTTTCTTTCATCTTCCTCACAACCTTATTTATTCATTTACCTGTGCAACTCCAGATTCCTGTTTTCACACAACACTCAACATCACCACTAACCACTACTTATGTATCCTCATCATTACCAATATGGCCTTTTCGGTATAATGTTTGACTATTATATGTTTATATTTTTCATTTTTTTCTTCTCTCTTTCTCTCTCTCTCTCTCATACCACAACAGGCAAAAGAAGGAGCTAACCAAAGGAACACTCAATGGCTGTCAAGCACGTAATTGTGTCTACCAAATTGGCACCTTTATTTTTCACACTTAAGATGCTTTTCATCAAGATTTGGGCGATGGGTCAAATAAAGTGAAGAGATGAGAGTAAAAAGGCAAAAAGAGCATCAAAAAGTTGAACCGATCATCAATTTTAGCACTGGGTTCAGCTTAACATCGGCAATTTAACCAAAGACCTTTGTTTGGCTGTTCGTGATTCGCGTGTTACAATCACCAACGCCATTCCTATCATCATCATCACTGTCACTTCCACCGTCAACTAGATAATAATTTTTCATCTCAGGCGTAGCTCGTTGTTTTTTATCTTCATCTGTCCACAGCTTATGATTACTATAATTGTCTTTATATTGTTAGTTTTTTTCTCTGTAACTCTAAACATGAGCTAAACCAATATACTTACATGTAATCACCTTTCAAATTGTTGATTTAATATATACAAAGATGGAAGGATAAACAAAATCTGTTCAATTTCATCCTTGACTGGAAAAAATAACTCCTCATAATTAAATCATATCTATTCATGATTATGAAGATTGTTATAATTTGTTTCCTTCAGTAAAAATAGTAAAAATAAAGATGAAATTCACAAAATGAACAATCTATTAAAATCAATTGAAAGCTTGTAAACTTTCTAAAAATGATTACAATTCAACTCTCAATTCAAATCTGCCATTGTAATACATTACCTTATTTTTTGCAGTTCACTTGCTTTTTACCTCCTTAATCCAATTCAATTTCATCTAAATTTTATTTTACTACAATTCAACATATTAAACCAATCCTCAACAAAATCAAAGTTAATTTTCAAATTTAATTATCTCACCGCTTACCCAATAACCAGTCAACCCATAGACTCTCCTTTTCTAGGTTAATAGATCAAGTTAAAGGTTTAAAATGTATTTAATCATTTCCTCAAACTCTGAACTCTACTCTAAAGGTAATATCTTTTAAGGTTTGTGAATTTGAGCATCACTAAACTGGAAATGGGCTCAGTTAGTTAAATAGATTGATTGAAAACTTGGCCAATAAAGGTTAGGATTGACTTGGCTCTAGAGTAGTTTAAGATGTAATTTTCACTAGATCAGTCTAAATGCGAAAAGAACCAGTCAAGTCAATCGATGAATATAAAAGACCATTGAGTCAGGTCAAGTTTTCCCTGTTTAAGGTCTGTCTAAAAAGTCTGTGTAAGTCAGCATTGATTTGGTCCAATCATAATTGCGAGCAACCTCGTTGAATTTAATACACACTTTATTCATCAATAGCTTAGAGTAAAGCTCAAAGTAATTTTACTCTAAACTACAAATGTTGAAACTGCCCAACACCTTTTTTATAAATTACCTATTATTTCCTATTGAATGTCTTTTACCTTACCTTTTCCATTAGCCTTATGCCATGTAGAGTAACATACCTGTTGGCAGAGTCAAAATGATGGAAAAGAAAATAATAAGAAAGTAAAAGAAAGGGAAAAGTTTCGAGAAGAAAAGGCTAAATTGAGAGTAATTTTTCCTCTTCAAGTGGCTAAGGAAATAAATATAAAATCAAAATTGGCTCTAAAAATGAAGTAACCACTCCCGTTGATTCTGTCGGTTCCGCATGGGGTCTACACCTTAGGCTACACAATTTAGCTTTTTTTCAGCAAAAAAAGAATGAGTTTTTTTAATGTAAAAACCATTCAAGAAAAATAGTAAAGAAAAGATGTTGAAGAAGAGCAACAAGAAGATAAAGACGAGATGGAAGAAAATCAGCAACAATTGAACAAGAAGACGAGGTTTACCCTCCTGGTAACTACACTCACATGGGATTTCCTTAATATACCATCTATCCATTCTTGGCTCATCAATCCTGCATCCTTCGCTAATTTCGGACATATTCAAGGTAATAGACTTGCATATTACATTTACCCACTTTTATCCTCTCATCCTACTTTTCCTTACCTCTCTTTATTACCTCTCTTTGTACTTGTGTCCATCATTTACTCTTCCCATTGACCTGTTTCCAGTTTTACTTTCCTTATTCCCTCCAATCAACTAGACTCTAATATCACTATTTATTTCTAATTGTCCAGCGAGAATCTATTTTATGTATCATCTATTGAATCTCAATCATGTTTTTTCTTCTCCTTGCCACCCATTTTACTTGATCATCATTGTCATCCTTTTATTTTTTTTGTCTCATTTCTTCTCTCTTTTACTTTCGCCTTGTAGCTTGGGATCGTCACTGTATTACATGGTTATGGTTAACTTGATTGAAATAAGATCCATTGCAATGTTGCCATTGGATTGCCTTTGATTCTCTCTGTATTGCTGTTTTGATTGATCTGTATACGCATTTATCTGTCACTTGCAACATTTTCATTCTCTTTTTTTCTCTTTCTTCTCTCATGCTTAGATGATGACGACGATGAAGATGGAAAAGGATGAAAGATAATTCTGCAAAAACAACCAAGTAAACATGTAAACCAATGGATCAACATTTCTTTTGTCTTCTCCAACCCTGAAAGCTTTTTGCATAAGGAAGAAGAAAAAAAAGAGATTCAACATAAGCTTTCAATGAATTCTCGTGAATTGTTTCCATCAACCGTAATCTTGTTTCTTCTCATTTCTTCCTTTTTCGCATCTTTTTCTCTTCTCATCTAAGAGATTATGTTTTTGTTATCAAGCAATAATTTTCGTCTCTTTTCTGAGTCTTGTTTCGTTCATTGAATAACCCAATTGAAAACAATCCTCAATCTAAATCAATGAACAAACAAAACACTGTCATGTTCAACCATCATTACTCAGCTGAATCAAATAATGACCCAAACATCATACCGATTCTAATAATAATTTTAAAGCAAAATCAAAAGTTCAGATACAATTGTTGTAAATGCAAGAAAAAGTCTGTTGGAGACAAAAAAAGCTTAAAAAATTGTGTCAACAGATGATTTAACATTAACATACTGGAAACATTAAGCCTTCACTTGTTTTCAAACCTTTTCTCATAGCTTTTACCTTTACAGAATCTTTGGTAAACAAAGTGAATGATCAAATGCATGGCAAGAATTGATTGAATCTGATTAACCTGGATCAGTAATGATGCTTAATGTAACTTTCATTCTTCAATCAATAATTAACTGTTCCATCCAAAGTACAATGGCAACTTACAAATAGACCAGCAAGAGGTTTAATTGTATTGTTAATATAAAAATGTAAAAAGGGTAATATTGATAAGTCTAAATGCTTTTTTTTAATCTCTTATTAAATCTAATTCAATTTCAATCTTCTTTCAGATTTGTATCATTCAATTAATGTCAATTGAATAGCATAAATGTAAATAAAAGTAATTGGAATCATGGTGATCCAGGAATTGATAACACATTAAAGATTGGCTTATCATCTCAGCTCTTCAAACTTCATCTACTTTTTTTGGTTGCCGCTGCTGTATTGCCTGACAAACAACAACATCGGATTATTTGGCTGAGCCATTGGAATCAACCAAGCATTATAATAACACAAGGAGTAACTACAATCTAAAAGAGGTTCGATTGAGCGGATTAATGGTTAAGGCTTAACCAGGTTCTTTACATGGCAAACAAGAAACAATATTAATCCTTGATTACCGTTACCAATTTTGTGCTTCTTACTTCAATTTAAATAATGCTCCATGAAAAGGGTAACCTGGAGAGGTGCATCAATACCGTAATGGAATAAGCTTTGAAATATTTTTTTTACAATATTTCTCTCTCTCTCTTTATTAGACTCATCTTCATGTTGATCTGCTCTTTGGAACGGTAGAAAATTCTGAGAATATTTAATCTGGCATTGTTATTGTTAATGGTTTATCATATTTCGCCTGATTATCCTCTTTAAAGAAGTGAGTTTTGGAGAAGGAAGAAAAGCCAGAGAAGATGGTTGAAGTAAATATTCAAAGATAGACAAAAGATGATGAAGTTAAATCAGCTTTTATCAAAATCCATTATCGAAACAAGAGTTTCTTTTGTCTCTTTCATCTTCATCATTCTCGTCATTCTCATCATCATTATCTTTCTCCGCATAATAAACTATATGTCAATATGGAGGAGGACAAAAAGGAAGAAATATGAAGAGCATTTTTCAAGACAATAACAGTGAAAAGTTGTGAGTTGATAACAGATGATAAATATGATGATGGTAAAGGAGGAAGAAGATGAAGATGAACATTTTTGGTCCATAATTTAAGCTGAAACAAAGAGATGACGAAGACAATGTCTTTAAATAAATACTGAAAAGATTTCATGTTGACAGGATGAACAGTATTTTCTTTGGCCTCTCTTTCAATGTTCATAACATTAAAGGATTTTCAGTTTTGTCATTCCTTTTAGACAACATTTTTTTGGGCCAAAAAAGAGGTTCATTTTGAGCATTGTTACAATTTTAATACTTACACACACACACAGCATTAATCAATTGTAAAAGGACAATCAAAGTGCAGAGATTAATTGAATTATTGTTGGTTAAATACTCTGTAAGGATTGAATTAGGATGTAAAAAGTTAATGGACAAAGATTGAATAGGTTAGGCCTTAAGGAATCAGCTGTGTTATTGTATAAATTGAATTTACTTCAACTGATTACTTTGACCGTTCAAAATGAATGGTTAGTTGGCTTTATTCAAATTATCTTTATTAATAATTTCATTATTGTTCAATAATTTAGTTATTATAAAGCATTTCAATGTCCATGAAGAGTGTAAACATGAATTGTTTTGTCTTATATTTTATGGTAAATTATTTTTCTTCCTCTTCAACCTCCAGGCAATCCAGACAAAAACTCACCATATCCAATGTTGATCATCATCTCCATCAGCCTCCTCATCATCATAACCAATTCAATTTCTCATCTTTAAACCTTGATTCAGTAGTGCTGTTGAAGGAGGAGTTGATTGTTGTACATTCACAGTGATGGTAAAGCGTGCTAAAAAGGAGGAAACAATGTATTGTTGTTACCAATGTAAATATAAATGAGATTGAGTTAATTAAATTCAGTCTCAACGTTTAGCATAACAACAACAACAACAACAACTGGAAGGAACAACTGATTCAAAAAAGGCAAGTTTACATACATTTTAAAGTTATAATAATTGTGTGTGTGGCCCATAATAACAATAATAATGATGAATGTCTTTTGACTCTCTTTCAGACTCTCAGCTCATTTTATATTCCTAATATACTAATTGATGATTGTACAAGCACCCACGCGAGTCCGTCCACCAATCGTGTTAATTTCAATCCAGTTTCTGGCAAAGTTACATGAGGTTACAATTTACTCGGACTCGGCCCTAATTGATGCCACAGCGACTCAAGTATGATGTGAAACACAGCAACAGGAGCAACCCGCCAACAACAGCACAACCGTAATCCAGTTTGATTATCCTTTCATTTATTATTTAATATAAATTGTAATACATGGCCTGGAGGGATCCATCTCAACGGTTCATGACCATTCTGTGTGACAAACGTACCGAGGAGGAAAGGTAAAGGCAAAGGAGGGAAAAGAGGCAGATAATGAGTCAAGAATCAAGCTAGCATAAGATTCGTGATTACCTTTGAAAATGTAGTCAACCTGATGGTGTAAAAAAGGACATCCCAAAAATTATGGAATTGACTGTACAATGTTACCTTTGGAAACCACTAATTCACCTTTACTTTTATCATTATCATCATGATTCTCATCCTCATAATCTTCATCCGTAAATCTTTATATCACGCAGTCAAATGTTAATTTTGCTTACCTTACTGTTTTGTTTTTTTTTCACTCAACTTAACCTCTGTAATACAATCTGTAGGTTGATTTGTTTTGTTTAGGCCTTTTAAAATGAATTAATTGTGACTGATTAACATACAACTTTTACCTTTTTTTACGTTGCTTCAACCTATTGTTAGTTTATTTAAACAGTTGCCCTAAATTGTATACCATTAAATGATAATTAAATAACAAATTCTGTGAACCATTGTAATCTTATGTGTATTACTATGTGTGTGTGTGTTTACCTTCATCCAATGCTTATTCAATGCGTTTTTTTCTTGTACCATCTTTCCATCACAATACTGATGTGTTACTGATTGTTTTATTGCGTGTTTCAACTGCCTCATCAAATAATATAATAATGTTAATAATACAAATTTATTTAATGAAAATAAGTATTAAAAAAAAGGATCCACAATCAACAGACAATTTTGCAGTTTTACTTCATGTTTCACCTTTGAAACTGCAAAATAAAACAAAAGGTTGTAAACAATTAAAACCTTTTGTTTCTCACAATTTACGTGTTCAACAATCATATAATGAAGTTTCATTAGAGGCAATTCATTTGATTGTATTTACCATTGATTACAATAATCAAGAAAAGAGGTAAAACTGATTCAAATCGACAAATTGGTAAAACAAATTGAGTTCAAAGATGAACATTTTGTCTCTTCAAGTCTAATTATAAAATAATGAATTACACTTTGGCTAATTTACTTTTAATTGTTGCAATTATTAAACAATTTGACGAGAGGATCAAGTTGAAGTTTGCATAATGTCGAGACACAAATGAAGCAAAAGATGGCAAATAATTAACCATTAAAACTAGATAAACAATTGTTTAATCATTTAGACTAGATCAACATTAGTAACGGTTAGTTGATGTGACAATTAAAGCAACATAAACTGGTCAACTTTTGAATTACATTTTTATGGTGAACAAAACAAAATGACCAAAAAGTGTTCAATGTTTTTTTGTAATATCTAAATGTTTACCATTAAAACCACAACAACACCTTGATTGTTACCAATCATTATTAACAATCAATCAACTCGTAACAATAAATGGTAAAAATATAGATCTTGTGAGTACAACAAAAAACTGTTAACTACTTGATATCATTAAATTGTCCTTTTTTTAAACCACCTTAACCAGTCTCTGTGTGTGTGTGAATAGACTCTTAACAGACAATGTATATAACAATCAAAGAATCACTCAGCATCTGGATGATAATACAATAATAGTAATAATAATATTCATTCACATTATCATAGAATCAATAAAAAAAAGCTAAATGGCAAGAAAAGGAAAGAAGAGGAAGAAAAAGATATTTCAAGTGAAACTTTGAAAAGGAAACAGCAAAATTTGTATTGAGAAGCAAAATCCCAGTTATATTAATGATGATAATGTTAATAATAATGGTGATAATAACAATAAGAGTTGACACATATTTACATCGATAACTTGGTAATGTAAATTGTCATCGTATTTGGTACCTTAAAGGTTGTATGGTGATGGTGAGTAGTCAGCAAAAAAAGGGCCATTATATTGACCCAAGAGCAGCAAAATGGTTCAATGATTTTACTCTTCAATCTACTTCTTCTCCTGTCTCCTCTTTTTTTTTTGATACTGACTGTAAAATTTTTCCCTTCCCTGTTATATATTATATTTTACATTAAGGAATGTTATTGGAATAGATTCTTCGTCTTTGCTTTTCTCTAGATTGATTACATTGAAACATTTTACTCTCTTCAACATTTAATATTGACTCTTGTTGTTTAGGTAACTAGTTTATGGTTGAGTAAATACAGTTGACTGTCGATGGCAAAATATTATAATTCATTTAACAGCAACTTTCGACTCTTTGTACTTTTTTTTACGGCGTTTGTTTGCATTTCCTTGCATTTTTTGCTTCATCCCATCTTTGAAAGCCATTTAAACGACGTTCCAAGTTGACCCAGGTCATTCGACCTTTTTTGCCAACCATTAGATTTGAATAGTTGGAAAGGTTACAGCAAAGCGAATGAAGCTTTGCAAAAATAATGACATTATTTGCGTTTTCAGGTTTCATCTTTTTTTCAACTCTCACTCCCTCATCCTTGTTCATCATCTTTCTTTTCATCCTCTGCTCGGTTTGAAAATTTGATTTCCAAATGAACGGATAGATTAAATATTGAACAATCTGCAGGCCGATTAAACAGCAAATTAGTTTCACCAAATTAGCTATATTCTTATCGTCTTTGTATTCCTTGCTTTACCATTGAAACATTTTCCTCATCCTTATCATCATTGTGGCGTTTTCCATATTAAATTTCTCGTTCTTTTTATCCATAGAATGTAAATTAAAATTATGGTTGAGATGAAACTTTCTCCTTTTGCCATCCTGCATCATCATTTTACAGCTATTTTGATGATACTCTTTGGATGCAAATTTTGTTTCTCCTTCCATCAGTGTAATCATCAACAACACATCTTTCCACTGTGTTGGTTAGAGGTGAAAATGAGCGTTTTTGGCAGCCAACAGCTTTTTTGTTTTTCCCTTTTCTCCTTTTCCTTTTTAGAAAGCAAAGGTAAATAATAATGATACAATTTAAGGTTGATTGATTAAGTCAATGGACCATCAAATAGATAAATGAAAAACATAAACAGCACATAAGAGAGGATAATCATGATGCTGATGAAGCTGATGATTATAAGGCCTAATGATAAGCAACTTTGCCATTCACTCCATTGATTTTAGAAATTAAGTTTTTTTAGATAATTTCTTCTTCTGTCACAATTAACCCAAGTGTGGGTGAAGAGGAGGAACCACATCTTGAATCGGATTCCAAACCACCGTAAACAATAACAACAGCACCTTTGTTGACAATATTAACAAGCCTCTTGGAGAGACATTTGCATGTTCAACATCCTCCTTGGATTAACGTTGTTGTCGCCGTCCTTTTATCACACTGACAACTGAAAGACCAGTTTCGTTATCCAGCCTAATCTTTGTTACAGTTGAATCGAGTTTTAAACATCAATATCCGTTCAGATTCAAGCTTGTAATCATCTTTTCCTCTTCTCTATTTTTTGGGGATCCTTTTTATTTTACAATTCCGTTTTTTCCTTCTTCAATTGCCTTGTTGTTGGCCTCTTGTAAATATTTCTGGTTCCCAATGAGACTCATCACAAAAAAGCGCTCCTCTTAATCCAAGTTAATCCTTTAAAAAACAGCTTAAATCACTGTTGATCTTGCTAAACGTTTTTTGATTCCCATTTAGCTTCTTTCCATTGAAAATGTAATATTTTTCCATCATTTTTTAGCCTCGTTTTGTTTGCATAAGGTTACATCGTATTCAAATCGTTTCTTTGCTTTCCTTCAGCCAAAAGCTCGTATCCTAGATATAATAGAAAATAGAAAATCATTTTTATCAATTTGTTGAATTATGTGATATTAAATTTGCTGTTGACAGTAGGCAACTGTTAGGAAAAGAGTTCAATTTTGGTTGAATAAATTATCATCCATTTTTACAGTTGAAAACTGTTAAAGTTTACATTTTTTTACTCAACCATTTCTTATTATACTTTTTTCACTTGTTTTCAACTGCAAATGATAATTTATTGCTATAAGTTATGATAATATTTATAATGAAAAACTATTATCACATCATTTAGAACGCAAAAACAATCCATTTTACTTGGTTAGTAGTTAAATTGATTATTAATCTTTTCCCTGAATCAACCTTTTCTTTGGTGTTTACTTTTCTCCACACTTTGAATTATCATGATATTTACAGAATCATTGGGATAACATTTTCCATTATTTTTACATCCAATGATTGCACGCAAATTGATTATTATGAGACTGTTAATCATCATCATTATGGGTTAAGCTATTATCAACAATAATTGAATAATTATCACAGTTGTGACTCAATGTTTGAGTTTTTACTTTAAATTCAATCAGATTACTCTGATTTCATTATTCATTATCCTTTGGTTAAACTTGATTAACAGGCAAGTTTAATCTGTTGATTGATGGTCAATCATTAATTTAATTTTCCTTCAATACCCTGACAATCTTAACTCATTGAGATTCATTAATTGTAGTCATTTAATCAACCTTTTGTCTAAACTGGTTCAAGTTGAGTTTCCTTTGCGAAACTACTTATTAAATTAAAACAATTTAATCTTGCAATTAGTGATAATTGATTGGAATCAATTTAATTGTTTCTACAGATCAAGTGGACCTTAATTAATCAAGTTTAAAGGTTAATCGGTTCATGGTAAATCATTCATCATGTAATTGTAATGATGAATCTAAGCGATTTGAATGAAAAAGATTGCATCTTGTCTAGTACTAATGAATCAATCATTAAAGTTAAACAATCAACACTCAGTTATTATCAATATTATGCCCTAATTATGTTTACAATTTAATACACAATTTTACCTTTCTTGATGGTTGAAAGTTTAACTGTAAATGGTACAGAGTGAAATCATCATCATTAACCAAAACCACATGATAATTGAAGATAACATTAATTGTGTCTGAATTAATGTTTTACTTGCGTTATCCAATTTTGTATATTAAAAATTATTTTATAATATTAAAATGAAAAAAAACCAAACCTTAGTTATAATTTGTACTTTTCACTTTTCCTTTTCCATTTCGGGTTCTTGACTGATTTGATTAAATATTATGTATACATAGGTGAGGTTTAATTGTGACTTGCTTGTGATTCACTAATCACGCAATCAGCTGATAAATTGTTGCTTTCCCATGAAACTGTAGGCTTGTGTAAATGATGATGATGAGGAATCAAAAAATCAGGAAAAATTGAAGGAGAAGAAGAAAAATGAAGAACCATTTTCAAGGTGGAGTCAAATCATAATCAAATTTATCAAATGGTCAGATGAAGATTGGTTATAAGGATGAGATGAGTAAGAAGGTGAACTGAAAAAATCATCATCATCATCAAAAGTACCTTTGATTAAACCCAAAAGATTTTGGGTTAACAGTTTAGCAGTTTTGTTCACGCAATTTGTAACTTACAGAGAGAGAGAGAGTTGAAGACAGAATGGAGTTTATAGCTGGTTGAGAGTGAAAACAAAGCATATCAAAGTAAAACTGGAACAATGTTGATTACAAGCAAGTAAAATACTAATGGTCAATGGTTTAATATTGATTAACTTGATTAAATTAATGGTAAAAATTGGCTTTTCGTGCAAGTCAATCAAATTTTTCACTTTCAATTTAAACGGTTTCAAATTTTAAATTTTACCAAACCTTTCACATGATCAGGGGCCAAAGAGTAACTCCTCTTTGTCAGGGGCTGTTACTTGATTACGACCGTTACTAACAAAAAGCTATTCTTTTGTGGCAAGTTTTAGCTTTTTTCCCTTTCCATTTTACATTGTATAATTTTTATTGTGTTTAAATCGTTATTCACTTATTTCATTTTTATTGTTAAACATTGATTGTTATGTCAAATTTACAATTTACCGGCCTTGATGTTACAACAAAACAAGTGAATGCATGTGTTATATAAAACGTGAAGAGATGAGTTTCAACCATTTGACTTTCATGTCAATCACTTTGACCACATTGGAAATGTTCAACTATACCTTTCCATTAACCAGCTGATCTGGTTCACTGAATTGTAATCTTGATTGTGTTTTGTTTTATTTGTGTTTAATTTATTGCACACCAGCTAACAAACCTAGGATTTAATCTATTTTTACCTTCAATTCAAATGTTACTGTGTATTAGATAAACTAATGATCCGCTGCAAATTACAATTAAAAAGAGAAGTAAAACCTTTCACTCGGTTTTACCTTTTTTCTTGTTTCTGCATGTTTCACCTTCTTTTACATTCTGATTCTGTTTCATTTCATCTCTACTCATCAGCTTTCTTTCATCATCCTTATTCCTAATTGTTGATCACAGTTTCCTTTACCCTCTCCTGTGTGCCTATCAAAGCTTCAGGCAAACTTCTTGACCACTGATATAATAAGATTTCTTTTTCTTTTTTCTCTCTTCCTTAGATTGAATTCTCATGATCAGCATGATATCTTTGGCCAAACTTGGAAACTTGGCTATCTCCATCTGATGGATAAAGTAACCCCAAAATAGCATGTTACAGGAATTACATTACAAAAACCATTCCTTTGTGGATTTACCTTTAATTTGCTATTATTTCCATTCAATTTTATCCTCTTTTACTCTGTTTGTGTTCACATTAATTTCAACTGTGATCATCAGGTAACACTTACCGTTATTATTCTTATCATTATTACTTTTATTTTATCAAATTGCTCATATCAAGCTAATTATCTTTCCATGTTGCATTTTTTCTCTGTTGACATTACATAAGAAAACTAACCTTATTTTTTCTTTATCTCTTTCAATAGGTAAACCTTTTCATGGGCTTTATCAGCATCCTCATTCACATCATCATCAACATTAACATCTTTTTGTATTTATTTATTGATTTGGAAATGTATTCAACATCAAACAGAAGCCAAATAGCACTTGGAACTGCAGACAATTAGACTGATTATGTATTGATAGCTAATGATAGCTGTAATAACAGTTATTGTTGTTTACCAATGATGAAAGGAAAAACTTAAAACCTGGAAAGATAAAGTTCATTTACCTTGAATTGGGATAAAAAAGTGCAACAAACAGACACAGACAAACAAACACACACACACAAAAGGTGTAAAATGGAAAAAAGGAACCATTTAAAGTTTACAGTTGCCAGTTAAATTACCAGAGCAATTTAAACATTGTATAGTTGTAATTGTGATATGCATTTAGACTTGCAATACTAACAATGTGTAATGGTAAAGTAATAAGTGAGAAGTAAAAAAAGCAGATGAATGAAATGACGCTGATGATGGGAGATGAAGAAGACATCAGGAAAAAAAAATAACAAGTAAACTATAAGGAAAAATAAAAGAAAACAAAATGAACCTATCAGATTTTACATTTAAGAGTAAAATTTGTGTACTCAGAAACTCATGAATGATTATCAAAATTAAGTGCGACAATTAACTGTAATCTGATTCTCAGGCTTTCCCATTTCACTCACTCACCATTTTCAATGTTTAAAATTAGGTTTCCTCCTTGATTTAGCAAAGCTTTTTCTCCCTTCATTTCTCTTTGATCATCATCATCTTTATCACTATCTATATCACTATCTATTACTCTCTTGAAGGCTCTTAATTGTTACCCTTAACCGGATTAAAGATAAATTAAACTATCTTACCCATCCATTAACAAAAACAAGATTGGCATTTGCTTGTAACCCAATGGTAACTATATTACAATATAACAAGAGATTACAGGCAGGTCTTGATGAAAATGATGAGAATGAGAAGGATGATGATGATGATATGAGAAGGATGAAGAGAGGAATACAATTGAGAATCAAGTTACAGGTACAAAAGTCAACTAGTCTAATGTTTAATTTTAAATCGTATAAAATGCAATATCAAGTAACCTACCCTGGATCCTTTCAATATATCTCTTATATCTCCTCATTATTGACCTTAACATTGTTTAATTTTGTCTCAAAATCGAACCCTGAACTTTTCTGATTTTTATCGGTAAAAGTAAAGATTGAAAAAACAAAATTTCTAACAATTTTGCAATTTTTAAATCAAAAACCATCAGATTTATAGATCGCGCCTTAAAACTGATAATCCATGTTAATTGGTTAACTCTTTCCCTTTCTTTCTTGTCTTTCTATTTTTCTTTAACCTCTGAATGTATGACTTGACTAAAATAATGTTTCTTAAAATTATTGGTTCCATATTTACCGTGTTGATCTAATTAGATTGCGAGGAAACAAAGTTAAATAGTCATTTGATCAACCGAGATTAAGTTGACCCTTATTTTGCCTAAACTGATGTTGATCTTTTCATTGAAAGTGTCAACAACTTTTCCTTAGTGCTTGTGGCTTCTTCAATATCTCATCTTTGATGTTACCAAGGCTTACCAATCGATGATGTCTATAAATAAGGTGAGAAGACCCAACTGAAAGGTAAACATTTAACCAAACTGACCTTTTCCAAATATTAATCATAACAACAACATTAACAATGATTAGGGAATTAGGAAATCAAAAAATTAAGGCCTTTTCTGGTTTCATTCAAATCGGAAATTACTGGATAAACATTTCCACCATCTATTTATTTTATGACTTATTTATTTACAATGATTTTTTTTCTCTTTTCCCTCTTTTTTTCAAATCAAAGGAAACAATACAATATATCAACTGTTTCATCCAATGGATATTCCTCAATAAATACCCACAAGGATATATCAATCATTTGATTTTTGCCGTGTGTCCATCTGTGTATCAATGATTGCCAGGAAATGACCAGAGTCACCTTTTTTTCAACTTCATGGGTCAACTGATAAAAAGGACGATTTGATGAAGATGAATTTTGTTTTAAGTCTTTACTCCATTATCCTTGCTGATAATACTTTAATTGTGACTGCTTGAGAACATTAATTAACTGCCATTTTTTACTCTCCTATCCAAATATTTTCATTGTAAAACTGACAACTTGATTATCTTAATTTCTTGTCATTGTATCATCATTAAGTTAACCAAGGTTCTCACAGCGCAATGAGTATGATGATTCACATCAAGTTAATTATCATCAATGTAAACCATTGATTAGACACATTAATTATTTCTCTTAATCTGCCTCTATTCTGGTAGAATCACCAAGATGAATGAAGCAGAGCACATATAAAGCCTGTAAAAAGTTGCAATATCTTAATGAATATGTTTAGTGTACATTAACCTTAACCATACAATGAAACTCTATGGTTGTCTCTTAATTGTAAATTGTATCAAAAAAAACTAGTTACTCTGATTAGCTTAATTAAAATTTTGAGTGTACATTGTCTAAGAATGTGCCAAATGTAAAAAGGCATCAATCAAAATACTAAAGAGGATGAAATTGTAATTGAAAAGGCTATCAAAAAAGGAAAGCACATGATGAAAATGTAATAATGTTAATTCAATAGTAAAGTTATTTTAATTTAAAACTTAAACAATCTAATTCCTTAACAGTTGAAAAGCAAATTACTGTTAATGATGATTCCATTACTGGATTGAGAAGCAAAAAGCAAGATTACAAAAACAAATGACAAAAATGTAAAATAATTGTTAACAAAAAATGGGTTCAGCAATACAATTGCTTTTTACAAAGGAATGCATAATGATAATGAAGAGATGGTGATGAGGATGGTAAAAATGATGAGATGAAGGTATGATGAAGGGATGAGAGTTAAGTGATTTTAGGAAACGTTTTTTTTTGTATTCTTGTCTTCATCTTGACAAATGATGGAAGGCGAACAAGAAATGATAGAGAGATTTAAATCAAAATTTAGACTAATTAGTTGCCCTATTTCAATCATTGCGATCATCTTAACCATCTTCACATCTTCACCAGCAAAATGGAGCTTTAATAGAGCTGTCAAAAAACGAGAAAAGCGGATAAAAAAAAACTTGCAAACCTCAAGCAACTCATCAACATTGACATGCCTTTTGTTACTTTGGTTACATGGTTTTGCCTTTTCATCATTTTCACCATTTAACTTTCTTCTTTCCCTGTTCACTTCTTAAATGTTTAAAAAAATATGAATTATCATGGGAGATGAAAAATGGGAGGATAAATGTTGATCTGAAAAATCTGATCATTTGATGGCAAATGATGATAATCATTTTGACAAGTCTAACAACAAACAAGAAATGCTTGTTCAAGCTTGATGAGCAGGGAAAAAAGCAAAGCAGCCAAGAAAAGCAGCAAAATAGTGAAACTTGAAAAAATTGATTTAAAGGCGTTTCACCAATAATCAATGGATCAACAATTATAATCAAAGGTTTTGATAATTAAAGGTTTGAGTTGATCATTTGTTTGTTTGTTGATCAATTACTCAAATTCATTGGCATTTCTTGCCTTTATCCTGATCACGGTCTGAACTTTCTTGTGCACTTGTTTGTTACACACTCAATATTTACTATTATGTATTATTATAAATGTGTATTTGTTATGTCAAATCATGTTTACCCTTCATTTACATAAATAGATTTGAGCCTTTCAAATGAATCAAAAGCCATCCATTATTTGGTCAACATTATTATGGATTCAGTTTACACAAGATTCAAGATTCAACTCACCTTATGTTGTTGTTATTTTTTTCACGATCAGAATCACTTGAATCAACATCATTTATCATCAACACCTTATATTATATTGAAAAGATGATAATGATGATAGCAATTGATTTGCAATTGATTTCCATCCACATCATCATCTTACTCCAATAAACCAATTGAAAGGTAAAGATTGATTCCAAGATGTTTCAACCCAATGGAAATGAAAATATGTACAAAGATTATCCAATTCACTGTTTATTTTCCCATGCAATTTATATTGAGATTGAAAATGGGATTTACTTATTCATTGGTCTTCAAGAGGAACAGATATCCAATGAAGAATACCTGATGAAAATGAGAAAATGAAATGAAAATAGGAAAAGGTAAAGTTTACCTGATTTACTATTTATATTAACATTCTTGATAATCATTGATTCAATCATTGCTTCCAATTCAATCCTTTTGTCATCATCAATGTTTGAATAGATTACATGGAAAATAGCGTCAGAAGGAACAATAATCTTTATCTTCATTCCATCATCTTCATCATACCATGTACAGGTATTATTAGTCAATATTGAACCAGATTCAACTTGATGAGTTGAACAATCAACTACTGTTCATTTAATGATAGACATTGAAGAGTAACTGTTGATGGATTAATGGATCAAAACTGAGATTCAACAAAAAAAGGTTAATCAAATGTTGAACCAAAAGGTACAATTGTAGTTGATCAACTGTTCATTTTTAAAGTGTTCAACAATCAGTAAATTATAAGTTACCAGAACCCAAATTGAGGGGAAAAAATGTTAAAAAAAGGCATTTGTTTACCTTTAATCTTTTCATGATCAGTCTTTGTCCAATCCAATTATTAACAAATTTAGACTTGTTGATGAAACTGGAAAGGTAAATAACTGATGATGATTAAATATGATGATTAAGATGATTGAGTTAATTGATGATTCAATCCTGGAAAACAAAGGTTACAGTCTTAACCAGAAAAGCTGTAAACCAGATTCTAATCACTCTAATTGTCTCATTAATCTCCATATTAAACTGATGAAAGACCAATCTTTATCATTTGTCATCATTTCTCTTCTCATACAATTTCACCATGAAAATCCCATTCTTTCTCACCCTAATCTTCATCATCTTTATCCTTTAAAAAGGCCATTTACAATCAAAACCCAAAAAAGTAGCAAAAAGAGCCTTTTTTTATCCGTTAAAAGGTTACTTTATCAGGAACAAAAAATACAAAATAATATCTATTATCATTGAGATTGGCAGAAATGGCCTTTAATAACAATATCGTTCAATGGATTCAAGTTAAGCTTATATTTCAATTTGCGATCTACTTTTATATTCATTTAATAATACCTATGAAGCGGCCAAAAAATGAAGATAAAATGTTTCTCTTCTTCATCTTTCCATCATCTTTAAAGCTTTCACATTGAACAATAAAAAAACTGCATCAATAGGATAACAGTTAATCTAATTCGTATCACAATTTGTTAAGCTAATAACAAATGTGAAAAGTTGAAAGGAAAAGAAAAATGTTGAACCATTGAAAATGTAATTCATACCAATTGAACCAAATTATCATCTTAGTCCAGACCCAAGACAGGATCTTTGAAAAGGTCAAAATTGCGATTGTTGACGTTTTAAAAGGCCACTTTGTAGACGATGGAAAAGCAAAGAATCGGTTGAAGTTAAAAAAAAGGGAGAAAAATTTCAAGCCAAAAACTCTGTCAACACTTAGCATCACTTTTTTATCCTTAACATCTGAGATCGCCCTTCTCATCATCTCATCATCTTGTCTTCATCTTATCTTCATCTTTACATTCATCTTATTCATATTATTATATAAAAGACTCTTGCTACTTCATTTTTTTCTGAAAACCTTTTTTTTTCCTGCCAATCTTTTGTGTTGAGATGAAGAAGAAGAAAAAAAAGTGAATTGAAAGTCTGAGCCTTTTTTGGTTATGCTTTTACCTTTTGTCGTATTATGTTGATGAATTGGCAGATCGTAGATGATGAGAGATGCTCTTCACCTTATTTTTATCCATCATCATTTTGTCTTCACCTTAAGGCAAGTTTTTAACAAAATTGAAAATACCAAATTAACAAGACCAAGCTTAGCTTTTTCACTCCTCGGACTATTATCATTATTATTGCTATTATTGCCATTATTATAGCGGCTATTATTATTGTTGTTATAATCATTATCAATATTATTATTAGCATCATGAAACATGTAAAAAAGTCAAATCTTTCAAACCATTTGGACGTTATTATGTATCGCTAATAATGAATAAGTGAAGGTCAATTTTGAAAGGAAAATGAAACTCAAAGTCAAGTCCATTGAAAGATGAATCTCTCCTAAGATGGATCAAAAGACAGCTTGTAAAAATTGATCAAAAGACTTAAGATTTTGTTATTCCTAAATTGATGATAATTACAATTAGATGAACGAGAAAAGTCAAATTTAAATGATCAATCTCACTTTTAATGTAAAAATGAAAAAGTCAAGAAAAGAGCAACAAGAAAAATCTTTTCAATCATTAAACAAGGCAACAACTGACCTTATTTTTCTGGTTACCTTTTCATCTATTCACTTTTAAGCTATTATTATTGCTATTATTGTAATATTATTATAACCTAATAAGTATTATCTTTTTAATTTGATCACTTTGATTGAAAATTGTTCAATCTTTTTCATCTGAAAACTAATGTTCAATGTTAAACTAATATCGAAACGCGAAGCAAAGCAAAGTTTGTTTGTCTGCGTAAAATTAGATCGAATTGCTTGAATATTAATGTACATAAATGTAACGACGCGTTATTGTAAATAAAAAAGATTAATTATTATAATATTGGTTTTAAAAGATTTTATTCAACTCATATTTTGAAGCATGTAATCAGCATCTTCATTGTGGTACAGGTGGAAGTTTAGCCAATAATTCACGAAATGACAGAGTTGTTCTAGTAGTTTCTGGAGTGCGAGTTTTAGCTGCAGGAGTGGTGCCGGGACAGGGCGGACAAGTTGTAGCGGCTTGTACCATTGACGATCCAAGGCTGATCACAATAAGACTGATTAGAATCGTCTTCAACATTTGAATCCATTTTAAAGCCATTCTGTTCACTTTTTATTATAACTTTACTTTGCACACTAAATTCAATTGTAAATTTATTTTAACTTGTAATTAACTTTACTGATGAATTGTATGGTATGATATAAGATGTGAAAATCGGTGCTTTTAAAGGTAAAAATTAACTCAAACTGAATCAACAAATGTCAAATAAGTTCATCATCTAATGTGATTAAATCTATTATGAATAAAATTATTGAATTTTATTTACTTAATAATGATCAGTGCTTGTCTGAGCAAATTTTGATCATTGATGATCAATTAAATCATCTAAATTGCTGTCTACACGAGACAAAAGTTCAAATATTAATAAAGCAGTCAATCAGAATTTAAATAGCAAATAGTGCAAATTGTTCAAAATTATTCAGTTATAATTCATTGATTGCTGTTAAATTAACTTTCTTGCAATCAAATAAAGAAGATAAACTTTCATTCGACTTTATCCTTAAGTTTAAAAGAATGGTTTTAGTGTAAAATTGGCTTGAATTTCAGTTTATAACATATGGTTACAGAAGTTTTGGCCAAGCTTTGGTTATTTTTGATTACAATTATTAGCTATTCATGATCGATTCAACTAAGCATTTTGATTGTTGAAGTGCAAAGTTGACTTCGGAATCATCTGACCTTATTTTCTGGTCACTATTGAACTATTATTGCTATTATTATGATATTATTATAATGTAATAAGTATTATCTTGTAAATGGTCAGATGGGAAACAAACTAATGAGAATGAGAA